CGCTCCAGACATTGCGTCCTGAGCACCGCCAAATCAGGTGTCACCACCTCAAAAACAAATTAAACACGCGATCGTTCATGTCGGCTCATTTCCTTTCATGTTTTCTGTCTGTTATTTGTGCCTGATGCATTTCGCTGCTGCGGAGCGAGGCGCATCACCTGTTGTCCTCCGGTGACACACCCCCAAGATTCCACTATCTCCGCTCCGCTCCGGCATGAACTCCGCAGCAAAAACGGTCCCGTTGTAGTTGGCCGGCGAGCAGCGGCACTCCGCTGTTTTTGCGGTCGGTAGATCTTTTAGAACTGCAGTTCAAAGGTAACTCATGAGGTGAATATATATGAACCCAGGTAGCAGTTTCTCTTTAGGATTGAGAGGAGATGCAGGAAGATAATAAACAGACAGGACAGGAAAATAGTCAAATAAAAACAAGTTAGTTTTTGTACCTGCTGGTTGCAACAAACAGACACCACTGAAGGTAATCAGAAGTGAGGAACAGAAAATGAAATAATTATTTTAATGTTTAGAGCAGCAGGAACTCCGAGAGGCTGCAGGTGCATCAGTGAGTTTGCGGCCGCTGCGCAGGGGGAGGGGGGAGAGGGCTGAAGCAGGGGGAGGGGGGAGAGGACTGAAGCAGGGGGAGGGGGGAGAGGGCTGAAGCAGGGGGAGGGGGGAGAGGGCTGAAGCAGGAAGCAGAAACTACCGTTGTTAAAAGAGATGTGTTAACTTAGAAAATGTGGGCGCAATTTTAATTGTCAAAAACTCCAGCGAACCTACAACCCCCCCCCCCCCCCCGCCGCTTCCGGCGTATGACGTCGTCAACGACTAGTCGAAGTCGACTCGACTTTCGTTACTTGACTGTCGACTTTAAAAAAAATAAAGTCGTGCAGGCCCTAGTGTGGACTAGGCCTCAGACAGTTTAACACATGCAATAAGGTTGCATCTCTATTCAAACACCCATGAAAATGCGATGTGTAAATAATTACACCTGTTTGTTTGTTTGTTGTTGTTTTCTGATCAGGCAGATGCACAAGATCACCCACATGTGCAGCTGAAGGTCACCTTGACACCAGCACCAGGAGGGGGATTGATTCAGCTGGTGTTGTAAAAAAACAAACAATCCATGTGAGTGCATGAGTACATCTTTCAGAACCATCTTTGTAAGTTTTTTTTTATCATTGTTTGAGCCAAATGATTAATTTATTCATTCATTCTATCTTAGCCTAAGATTACAATCCCCACTGAACACCACATCTGAATACTCACAGAAGACAAACCACTGAGGCTGACTGAGAATATGAGAGGTAGATTTAAAAAAAGGAGTGCTGAGGCTCTAAATCTTTGCTTGCTTTGCTTCTGCACGTCGAAATCCTCCAGTTTCCAGCAACATTAATCTCCTCCTTGTCTGCCTTTCTGTGTAGGCTTTTTGTTCATGTTTTGTTTCTCTGACTGCTGATCTCTGCTCTAAATACCACTCAGGCTGTGGGAAACACAACTGCTTGTCTGTTCAATACCATTCCATTCACCAAAACGAAAGGCACCAAACTAAAAGGAAGGAGATGTTGGCACAGGCGCAGATTCTCTAACTAAAATTAAAAGTCATCTTAATATAAGTCTGGATATAAAGAATCTTTGTGAAGTTGAAATACAAACCATTTACCCAGCAATACATTAGTTTGAATAGGTTTATGCTTCCCTGTAATTTCAAATCATTGAAACATCTAAATGTTTAAAATGATGTGTGCCCCTAAAGCAACATTAAATTGGGATTTTTATGTTAGGGGGCCACCTTTTGGCAAAGAGTGATCACTGCAAGTCTTCAATTCTAACAATCTATCAAACTCACAAGTTACAATTTTCCTGAAACAGACCTTTTCTCTGCATCTGAAAGAAAATACCAGCTGTTTTTAAAAAACTGTTTTAGCACATCATGACAAGCTGACCTTCAACTCTAATGAACACATGGTTTATACTTAAACGTTTTTCTTTATTATTTTTACATAAAAGGTGTTTTTTTTTCTTGGTGAAGAGAGAAGATCAAAGAGAGTTATACAGTTTATTGGCATGTGCAGTTGTTTCTTTGGTACGTTCTTGCTGTGTTTGACTTCTAATTCCATTTTTGGTTATTTTTTAAAACACAGATAAGGTTTCTCTTTACCTTGCTGACAGTTTTGTTTGCGGCTGCAAACATCCTCAGAGCTGCCGCTGATCGTCGCGTCACTTCCTACTCCGTTTATCCGGGACGCTGTCACCCTCTGCTGCCCGCTCTCACCTCTCCGATGATGCAGTCCCATGCGTGATCCAATGAGTAAACTCCATCGTTTCTGTTCATGGTCCCACATCCACGTCTCCTTATCTCGATAGCTTCTTTTATCCATCGTTTGTATTTCTGTTGTTCGGTGTTTATGATCCGTGTGTTGTCCCAGTCCATTACATGGTTTTCTCTTGTGCAGTGATCTGTTACGGCTGACTTCTTTATTGTGCTTTCTGCTTCTTGTTTTGCTGCTCTTGTGTGTCTTCGACTTGTTTCTTTCTCTCACTCCTTTCTATGTTCTATTGTTCGTGTGTTGAGTTGGCGTCCGGTTTCTCCTACGTATGTTTTATTGCAGAGTTTGCATGGGATTTCGTAAACGACTCCACTTTTAAGTCCAGCTGGTATCTTGTCTTTTGGGTGCACTAGTCTGTTTCTAGATGTTGTGTATGGTTTTGTTGGTGTGTTTATGTTGTGTTTTTTCATTGTTGCTCTTAATTTTTCTGTTATGCCTTTGATGTATGGTAGGGTTATCACTGGTTTTAGTTCTTGTCTTTCTGGGTTTCTGGTTTTTAGAACAATAGAAAGGAGTGAGAGAAAGAAACAAGTCGAAGACACACAAGAGCAGCAAAACAAGAAGCAGAAAGCACAATAAAGAAGTCAGCCATAACAGATCACTGCACAAGAGAAAACCATGTAATGGACTGGGACAACACAAGGATCATAAACACCGAACAACAGAAATACAAAAGATGGATAAAGGAAGCTATCGAGATAAGGAGACCTGGATGTGGGACCATGAACAGAGACGATGGAGTTTACTCATTGGATCACGCATGGGACTGCATCATCGGAGAGGTGAGAGCGGGCAGTAGAGGGCGACAACGTCCTCTGCTGCCCGCAGATAAACGGAGTAGGAAGTGACGCCACCATCAGCGTCAGCTCGGAGGATGTTTGCGGACGCAAACGAAACTGTAAGCAAGGTAAAGAGAAACCTTTCCTGTGTTTTAAAAAAGAACCAAAAATGGAATGTGCAGTTTTTTTTTCCTGATTTTGGTCTAATCACGTTTATTTAACACTAGAAATTAGAACAAAAGCAATCCCAAACCCTCTACAGGTTCCCTTTATTAAATTGATGGGACAAATAATTTTCTTTGTTGTCATTTATTTTTATTCTGGCTCATCTTTGTGATATAGTGAATAATATTAACTTCCAAACACTGAATACAGAACAACAATATTATTTTATGATGAGAACAATTTAGATCTAGATGATGGTTCTAATTGTTTAATACAGGGTTAATTATTAAAATGTGTACATTTCAAACCAGTGCCCACTAATAAATCCTAATATAACTGCATGAATATGTCTTTTCATGCTTTGGAGAATATAGGAGGTCTTTCCAAATGTATTTATGTTTGGCATCTTTTACACCCCAAACACATTTGCATTTCTACAATTTTCAAGATTAGAATTCACCATAAAACAAATAAGGCACAGTCACACAAGTCAAAACATGACGCAGCACCATTTTATGTCTGCTACTTCAAATAGTTTCTTTGCTCACTAAACACAGTCTTCATTATTTTTAAAGTTCTTACTTTTTTCCTAGATTTCTCAATAATACATGGTTAATGTCTATTTATTCATCTTTTTGAACATTTATTTAATATAAATGAGAAACCCAATCACTCTTGATCAAAACATTTTTAAGGTCACTGGCGGTCGTAAAATAATTGAACTGCATATGTATGTGACAAATACAATTTGAATTTGAATTTGAAATGCTGAGCCCCTAAAGAAACATTGGTAAATTAAATTAATAAATAAAAAGTCTGGTAGTGCACTTTATGGAAGCCCATTACTGCCACTCATAAAAAATAAAGCATTCTCTCATAATTATGACTTCACTATTTCATAATAACGAGATAGCAAAATCATAATTATGAGATAAATTATTGTGAATGGAATGCCATACAATTACCTTCACAAGCTAAATCTGCTAAGTGCTTTGTTCTCTTTTCAGAATAAAAAGGTGACCAAATGAGGGCAGAAGGACTAAACGTGTGTGTGGAAGTGTGATGTGTGTGTGGGTGGGTAGGTTGGTGGGTGGATGTTGGTGTGTGTGTGTCTGCTCTGTCTTCTCCATCACCAGCAAGTCAATGCAGATGGCTGCTTATACTGAGCCAGGATCTCCTGGATGTTTCTTCCTGTTAAAAGGGAGTTTTCCTCTTCACTGTCGCTACATGCTTGCTAAGTAAGAGGATTGCTGTAAAGACCCTGACACTAGTCAGTGAGTGACTTGATGCAATTTGCTGGGTTCCTTATGGAAACCTTTTACTGACTGGCTTAATGAACTGAACTGGACTGGAAAGTTTACTTTGTGAAGTGCCTTGAGATGACTCTTGCCGTGATTTGGCGCTTTATAAATTTACTGAATTGAATTGAATTGAATCACAAAGTTTTCAGACCCCATTTTGTGCGTCAGCAAACTTTAAAAAATGAGGCCCCTGAACTCGTAAATATTAGAATCAAGTAAAATGTTATGAAATATTAGAATTAAAGCCAAACTGTGAATATTAGCATATTTATTTATTTATTTTTACAGAATGTGTTAAAGATTTTAAAATGTTGAAAGCTGAATCATAACTGCCCCAAATGACAGGGAAATGCGGAGGGTAAGGGTAAATGTTTAGGAAATTCAGAAAAACTGTAGCTAAATTGGTGAAAGTGGCCTTTGTTCCGTTTGCACACGAACGCACCACGGGTCCTCGCGAGCTCCACCTCTGTCTCGCCCGGTCAGGTGAGAAAACTTTCCCAGGTTTATGTCACCTGTGCTGTCACGTGTTACATTACTAAGGGCTGACTGTGGAGGCGGTGAAGCTAGGCGGATAACGTCCACCGTCCACAACCATGGCTGAATCCCAGCTTATGTGCATGGAGGACGGGCACATCGGGGCCAGAATCCCGGAGTCCAACCCGGAGTTCTACTACAGTGAAGAGCAGCGCGCGGCCGTCGAGGAGCTCCTGAAGAACGGCGATGGCGCCTACAAAACACGGCTGAAAGATGACAACATTACAGACTTTTTATCCGCGAGGGAGGTCAAACTCTTGGTTAACACTTTTAAACATTACGACATGTGTCATGAGAGCAGCGGCGGCGGTCAGACGTCCGCCTGCAGGTCGGAAGGGCAGCAGGAAGCCTCCAGACCCGAAGGTGACTCAGGGGTTCATTCCACCTACTGGCCCCAGATGTCGGACACTGAGGTTCCGCAGCTGGAAATAGGTTGGCCCGGCGGGGGGCTGTTCAAAGGAGTGACCCGGGTGACCGTGCACACACACCCGCCTAAAGACAACGGACCTCACATCAAGGAGGTGGTTCGGAGGCTCATCCAGGGGGCCAGCAAGGCGAGTAGCCCAAACCGAGCTAGGTGCTTATTGTTATGGTTGTTAGATGTTTTTACTAGTGCACATTAAAATGTAATCAAATGTAAGAAAAGAGTGACACGCCCAGCATTGACTACAGTAATAGTAATAGATACTGTAAACATGGGACCACTGGTGTGTGTGTGTGTGTGTGTGTGTGTGTGTGTGTGTGTGTGTGTGTGTGTGTGTGTGTGTGTGTGTGTGTGTGTGTGTGTGTGTGTGTGTGTGTGTCAGCCACTTGAGGGAATTGAAAATCTTACAACTGATTGAATCCTGACTTTCCTTTCCTGGATAAGGTGTTCTGAAGGAGCTTTGTGTTTGTTGGACTTCCAGTAATCCGACACCAAACTGGGCAGTAAACAAAAGCAGGTTTTAGTTACAAGTATCAGAATTAACTTTGCTGTCTGATTGTCATCATGACACATCTGGATAAGGAGTTTTTGTCAATTAATTACCAAGAACATTTCAACCGTGACAACAAAATGTAGCTTTGTTCCTTGTTTTGGTTGTTTAATACTTAAGCTAGCTGAAATGAGTTTGTGAATTATAAAGACCCAGTTGTGATATTTAACCCCAGCCAGCTGTAGCCACGCTTAGTCATCTTTTCCTCTAGCTAACAGTGCTGTAGCAACACGTTCCCTTTGGCCCGGCTTGTCTCCGTTCTGTTTGCCTCTAAAAGTCTGTCAGGAACACTTGGATGTTATATTTCATTTATTACAGTTATATACAACTGTTTCCTTATTACGTACGTTCTTATCAGCTGGCTGTTTACTCGGTGTTTATACTTTCCCTTTTGCTTCATCGCTCTTTTCTTGCTTGCACACATTCTCGCACTTTCGTATTCACTTCATCCTGCTTAGAATGTTAAAACAAGTTTTACGGCTTTTTACAGCTGATGTACTTCCCCATGGCTGCCTTTCATGTCTCACCCTGATTGTTATTGAGGGTTTTCTTTACTTATAAGTAAGGAATTGCCAGATAATCTTAAATTAAACCTTTTTAAAATAAAAACATCTAAAATGCTTCTTGTTTTTGGATAAGCGACAGGGACAAACGTGAACCCAGTGAACTGCAGTCAGCTTTTCTTAAACTAGCAAAGCAGATGAGATAAACATGCCTAATAATTGTTAACATATTAAATGGATTCTTACTGACCTTTAACTTATTTGGGCTTTTGTTCTTAGTTTTGATTTTACCATCAGAAACAATCCTGCTCTCAGCCCAACATGAACAGGTCCTAACTTGTTCCCCGTTAAAGCCTACTCAGCACATTCAACAAGACGTTCCTGGCACCGTCTTTTCTGTGTCTTTGCCATTGAAGGAATGTTGGAAAAGTCACACAAATCTTGTTTTCTGAAAACTCACCTGACCTGTGTGTTTCCATGTGTGGGGAAAGATGTGTTTTCTGCAAACCACCTTTTAAGTACCTCGTATTTTGTGATTGGTAGACTTTACTAATCTAATCATCTGAATGTTCCCGTAAAAGACCAAAGTCCTACTTAAGTGTTTATCTTTCAGGTGATCGCTATACTGATGGACATGCTCACGGACGTCCACATCTTGCAGGACTTGATGGACGCAGCTTCCCGTCGCTCTGTGCCTGTTTACATCTTATTAGATAGTCAGGGTGTGCCTCACTTCCTGGACATGTGTTCCAGACTTCAGATTGGCGCACAGCACCTACGGGTAAGGCTTTTATAAATGAAGCCAAATACACTAACGGTGTTTATCACACCGTCTAAACATCAATAAGTGTTTGGGCTTAATTCACTGCATTACAGGGCCTAGTCCTGAAACAGTGATTTATTTTTCTAGAGTAATGCCTCAGTCACACAGAGTGACAATAATTCAATAACAATAAAGTTCGATTAATAGACGTTGTGCAATAGAAAAAAATATCAATAAAAACTTTTTATGAAAAGTTTCCATTTTCCATTGTAGTCTTATTGAGTAGCTTCAAACTAGAGTTATTACTTACACCTAACCAATCAAAAACAAAGACCCACGCACGCTCCGTCACCAAGCCCTCCTCTCTCAAACCGAAACAGAAGCAATGTGACCTAAACAAGATGTTGCAGCAAGGAGAGGTGTCAGAAAGTGTCCCCAAAATAGGCTACAGTAGTCCACCAGTGGCAACATTTTCATTCTTACAAGTCTGAGAATAAACGACAGTTTCTAAAGTTAGCAGAGATTCATAAAAACCTAGTCTGGTAACGCAACCAACATGCAGGGTTTCCCCCAGAAAATGAAATAAGCCTGGTGAATTCGGAGGGGGGGCTCTGTCCCGCAGCGCTTCTCCGTGAGAGCTGGGATGGGGGTGGGGGGGTTGCACACGTTCCGCTGCTGTTTCTCACCAGTATCAGCTGATGGAGGGCTCTAGTTTCGTTGTGCCATTCGTGTCAGCGGGGACGGTAGGGTCGAGGAGGGGGGCGGGGCATGACGCTTAGCCTGGCGGGTGTCCAAGCAAAGCCTGGTGGGCAACCCAAAGCGCTGGGGGACACCCTGAACATGTTTGATCCTAAAGTAATGGCATAAAATGACCAGAGCTGCACTAAAATATATTTTCTATATTTTGATATAGTTTTCAATAATTATTGATATTCATCAATATGGCTTTTTCTTTATCGATGGACTTTTTTCTTATATCGCCCAGCCCTAAGAGAGAGTGCAGAACTGATTCATGTTGGTTTCTGGATGGATTACCAGTCGCACTGACTGAGTTTCATGTGCTGAACGTCACCGGACGTGTGCTCATGCGAGACCTTCAGATGATTTGACGTAACACGTTTAAATAAATACTCCTTAAAACAATGTGAACTCTCACACTGTGAACTGGGGTTGAGGATCATTTGAATCAGAACAATTTGGTTCTGATTCCAATTCCTTGTTTCGATTCCAGTTCCTATTGATTCTAGATTCTGATTCTTTTAAGAGGCAGGATCCAAAAACATCACATGTTTTAAATGAGCCAGCTAACCATAGGTCTTACTTGTTGAAATAGTTAGAATTTTAACTCTATGAACAGTAACATCACCGTAATTCAGACAAAAACAGATTTTTACTTTTTCAAGAAAGAAAAAAAAAGTTTCTGAGCCAATATTTTTCACTGCGGGATGCAAAGTTTGCATCACTCATGGAGTAAAGGTTCGGCAGAAGCATTTGCTTACACCCAGCGCAGTGTGAAGAAAGGGGCGTGATGCAACTCAGGGTCTCTGCAGGTTGCTAAGTAGGAGCAACAGGTGATCGGCTGGTATGATCAGCTCTGAAAGGTGTTGATCAGAATTTTCAGATCACATTTTTCTACGGAAATTGGCCGATTTGGATCGCTGGCTGAAGTCACACTTTAGAACGCCTTCGCAGTCCGCACATTTGCCAATGATTGCTCAGTGATGCAACACTTCTGGTGGATTCTTCTTCCAGTCGGCCAACGGAATCAAAACTAGCAATCCCAATTGAGCGATTTTGGGAAAAACTGACAATTAGTCCCGGTTCCAGCCGATGCTTGATGCCCGACCCTACTGTGTCATTAGTAATTAAACAAAAGCTGGGGAAAACAATACAGCACGGGTTTTACTTTGAAATATTGTGGATGCACTTCACAGAAACACATCATACTTTCTGTCTGGTTTATGTAATTTTTTTAATTTCATGAAAATCTGGATGCAGCGTTTGCCAAAAAAAACAAAAATTACTCCACAAGGAAACATTCCGGGGTTCCGGATCCACATGATATCGCACCCGGTGACGATGCTCTAAATGGACTAAATGTTTTTTGTCTTTGCCGAAGCTATACGGAGTCCTGACTTCATCTGTTCCTTACTCAAAGCAAATTAGGTATAATAAACTTCATATAAATAGGCTGAAATAAAAGTGAAAATGCTGCTTTGTTATTATGACAACGAAGCATGCTTTTAGCAGCAGGCCTTACAAGGAAACAGAATGATTTCTGTTTGTTAAAGTGTGTCTGATGAGACAAAACAATTATAAAATCTTCACCATGTGGTTAGTAATGATGCTGACTTATAGAACTCCTTCTCCACAGAGATGTGGGTAAACTGTTGCTGCACTATTTTAAACTTTACTTCTCTATTCAGTTTTGTGACTGACTAATAAAAGTGCTGGCTGCTTTTCTCGTTTTGCACTGACTGTGACCTCTGTTGTTGCAGAACATCAGAGCTCGAACTCTGCAAGGAATCGGCCTCGGTTTGTCCTTTGGGAAACTTCCTGGTTCCCTCTGTAATAAATACATGCTGGTAGATGGAGACAAAGTTGTGTTTGGCTCTTACAGGTACGTGTGTGTGTGTGTGTGTGTGTGTGTGTGTGTGTGTGTGTGTGTGTGTGTGTGTGTGTGTGTGTGTGTGTGTGTGTGTGTTTAGAAGTGCTTTACAAATCCAATTCAATTGGGACAATATGAAAATAATTAGAAAATGAAATAGACCTTATTACATCTACATCCACAAACAAGTGGATCTTTTTTTCCCTGTCATCATTTTAATTTTTAAGTTACTTCCAGTCTCTGTTTTGCTACATTTTTCTTAAATAATTCAGGACAAGGATTTTAATGATCTATTAATTAATTTATTTATTTATTTATTATATCTATTACATATTTTTAAAGGAACTGTATCATGCTATTTTAAACCTTTTGGAGAATAGGCACATATATGATTCAAATGTTATTTTTGGTGCTTTGGAGATATAATTTGTCCCGTAAACAGAGAAAAAGACCAAAACCACACCAGATGTAAATGTCGGTGTTTACAGTCCAGGGAAGGAGGGATCTGGATTAAAACTACCTGAATGGGGAAGAGCGATGATGAGACTAGCATGCCCCATCCAGGCGTTTGCAGTAACTTAGCAGGCCAGCCGAGGATTGCCGGCTGACACAGGAAAATGCATATATGACGCCAAAACCTGCTTTGGGGAGTTTTCTGTGCGGAAATAAGATAACGTTGCAAAAGTTCTAAAAGTACATTTGCATGATGACCTTTTATTGTAGCCTCTTCTCATGAAGTCATCTTGTTGTAACCTGTTCCAAGTAATGAACCTTTTTATTAATATTTTATCCAAAGTTTATTATGAAGCGTGCACTACATTGTTCTTTATTTTACAGTTAAAGGAAACAAATGTCTTAGAGTATGACATCGGTGGTATGCTCGAACAAAAGAACCAGAGTCAGCAGTTAAGATCTCCACTCTACTATGTACACTAAGGTCAAATCATGTAAGAAGTGAGGTCTGTGACTTTTCTGATTCACAGCAACCTGACTTTTAAAATAAGATCTTCACTAGCCCTGGAGACGAGAGTGGTCATCCTTAAATCAGAACATGGATGGTCCAATCCTCCACATATCAATGTGTCTTGTCCATAAAATAAATGTTTTCCACTATTGTTTCTGACATTACATTTTAAGTGTGATGGCCAAAGTTGTAGTGACCTTTTTAATCTTCTCTTTGTTCCAGTTTCACCTGGTCCACAGCTCGGATGGACAGAAACATGATCACTGTGACCACCGGACAGGTGGTTGACTTCTATGACAGAGACTTCCGTGAGCTTTATGCCATCTCTGAGAAACTTGACCTCTACAGGGAGTTTCACCTCAGCTCACCCACCACTAACTCCACAGCCACACTGCGTTCTAAAGCGGCGCCAAAGCGCCCCCCGTTACCAGCCACCACGTCCCGTTTCCAGGTCAGCTTAGGAGATTCACGGAATCCTGAAATCCAGGTGCCTGCACACAAATTCTACAATCCCAAATACGAGCTGGCGTTTGGAAACGTTCCACGTCCTACAGGATCTCTGCATGAGCTCGGAGCTAAGCAGGATACAATTCTGGCTGAGGTTTCTAAAGAGGGCAACAATGGGAGGCCACGAGTGGCCAGCAGCGAGAAGATGGACTGGATGAGTCCACTTCCCTCAGAAGCTCCAAGTGAAATCTTCAAAAGACACAATGGGACGGCGCCAAAGAAAAAGAGTCTGGAGAGTCATTTTCCATGGAAGAAAAAATCGTCTGCAGGGAAATCCTCCTGGTCACATTCTAGTAAAAGCAAATCACAAACTAGTTCTCCCACAGAAACTCATCCTGCAGAAGAGACTGAGGATGCAACCAAAGGGAGTAAAAAATCATCTAAAGTGGATAAAAGAACCAAGTCTCAAACTGCCAACTCTGCACACGAACACCAGAGTAAGTCCACACAATACAAAGCTTTCGATGTCTGATCCAGAACAATCTGTTTCTGAATCTAAGTTTAGGAATCATCTGTTTGTTCTTCACAGGTGAGAGTCCGCAGCGGGACAAAAAACGAGGATGTAACGTGTCCTGAGCCCGGCCTGTTTCTTTACTACAGCATGCAGTTGGACATTATTAAAACGGAACATCAAACTACCACGATACATCCATGAATGAACACCCTTCCAGGTTATGGTAAACTTGTGCAGTGTTAATGTAAAAGGAAAGGATGGTGAAATGCAATATTTGTGACATTTTATTTCCTTTGAATCTTGTTGGAGCTTCAGATTCGTTCTCAAGGAACTCTGATTTATGTAGAGTTGACTTTATAAAGTGGATCAGAGATGAGCTGTTTCTGTAAAACACCCATTTATGAGTGATTTGGTGAAATTAGTGATCGAGCTGAACCTACTTTCATAGCACTGGCTGGATCACCATGGCGACGCCTAGCGTGCGAAACACATTTTCATCTAGCTCAGCAGAAGACAGTGTTCAGTTTTTAATGGGTTTTTCTTTTAAATGACCTGTTTACTGATGTTTTCGTAAAACTAACTGTATTTGCTGTGTTTGTTCAGGAGTTCTTGGGACGATGCAAACATTTAGTTTTGTTTCATTTTGTTTAGCAGTTAAGTGCTGAGTTTGTAAATGGAGCACAAATCCAGAATTGTAAAAGTAAACCATTAAACAAGGGAGCTTTCATTGCAGGTCCATAAATGATTGTGGTGATTAAAACATTACTTCCAGTTGTTCTGCAATAAAAATCTACCGTTTTTACAAAGTGGATTATTTCAGTCCATAATATATTTTACAGCAAAACACCAAGTTATTTTATTTTTAATATTGGAATTCAATTGAATTTCAGATCTTGGTGAACACTTAAAATTATGCAAAAATATTTATAGGAACTCAGATATTTAGTTAATGTTTATTTTCACATGCAGGCTGCAGGAGGCAGCACTCGCTTGGCTAATGATGAATCTGGTGCCTTTGTAAAATCCTTAGACCTTTTTTTTTTGCTGCATCTATGTGCCATCTTTTAGATGTGACTTTTTTTTTAATTTAAGTCGGCATCAGTTCTATACAGAGCCCAACGGGTGTCAGGCCAGGCCATTATTTTTAAATAAGAATCCATTTCCTCAGTTTAGTAAACGCTGCACTGCACATGGATTTGTAATCGGTTGCCTGCCGAGGACAAATGTTGCCCTCTTGTGGCAATTTTGTGAATATTACACAAAGCATTTGAAATTCACATTTGATTTTTTCTGAAATTTAGTTTCAATGTTTTACTTAGGAAAACTATCTTGAAGTTTAGGTTTAAACAAGTAAAGATTGATTTTCAAAAGATAATTCTGGTGCATTAGTGCTTCCTCGTGAATGAAAAAGTTAAAAAAAAATTCATATAAGCCCCTAAATCACCTTTATTTGCCCAAATAATGAATTACTATCCAAGTCTTAATCTATACTGAGAAAATACCAAATGTTTAGTTTTCAGGTCTGATTTATGGCCTGAGATCTCTGTTCAGTTTTGTCTGCAGAAACCTTATCCTCGATGTGTTGGGAGTTTTCAAGATGGTCCTTTACTTTTTCAACACTTTGTGGGAATATAAATACCTTCAAATTAAAACTGAGAGTCTGCAGTTCTAAAACATCATGTTTGTTTCATTTCAAATCATTGTGGCAGTGTATAGAGCCAAAAATGTAAGAGGTGTGTCAATGTCCCAATATTTATGGACCTGACTGCTGAATGCTGTGATTGGCAAGACACTAAAGTGATCAGACCAATGACGGATCTGCTGAGGCTACAATAGGGTATGGCTAGACCGACCTGCAGAGCAAAATCTTTTGCTATGCTAGGTTTAGATTTCAAGACTACTAATGTAATAGATTCAGTCAACAAAACAGTTGGGAGCCGAAACTAACAAGTTTACCACTGTGGTCTAAACAGTGTACTCCACAAGTTGACCACCACTTGTCTCTAAGCATTTGCTAACAGTAGATGTGAGAGGGGAAGCACAGCTGTGATGGGAACTAAGCTGAAAGAGGGTGGGGGAGAGTTGTGAAATACTGAAACAGGAAGCCAGAACTGCAGTAGGAAGAGGCGTTCACGCAGTCATTTAATTTTACTGAAAGGCTGCAGGCCTAAGAAGGTGCCATTTCCTGTAATACTTGCACATAAATGTTTTGTCTCACAGCACTGCACATATTGGTCCAGATAAAATTGAGATAATTTAAGGGAGAATATAGGATTATTGAGAAGGAATGTTTTTTTTTCAAGGCTCAAGGCTTTTTTGTGGTTGATTGCTACAGAGCCATAACTGACATATAGTGCACTGTGTCTGACGTCAAAGCTTTATTAATACATCTAAAACCCTGTCCGTCTTACAGGTTGTTCAAGTTCTGCATCGAAAGATCAGAGAGCACTAGAAGCTTGCTTAAAAATCTAAATTGTATGAATATTTTAAAAAAATACTTTTCTGAATAGAAAACCAAAACACACCTTTGCACTTGAACACTGATTTAAAATGACATGTTATTTGTAACTATCTGCACTGAATTAAATATTCAGTAGATACTGAAATGCCGTTATAAAATCTAAGTATTATTTTTTTTAATGAATTTCAGTTTGCAAATGATCTCAGAAGTTTTTTGTAAGCGTTACTTGAAAAAATTGCTTTTGATGGTCCTACACCAAACCACCAATTTACCCAAGAAGCACAAAAGATGTAAATAAACATCAGGAAGCTTAATGTGGTCACGAGAGCATTCAGCTGAAAACACAGGTGTCAGTGTGCTTCACTCCAGTATGAACACAGTTGTAGCGTCCAGCAATGGTCAGTTTAGGTACAGCCTGACCGTTCACCATCTATTCAACATCTGGTCAGAAAGGAGACACAACATTGCATGTGTTCCCTTTAAATGAGCCTTCACACCAGCTGGGATTCAGACTCTGCAAATCTGAAAGATAAACAATAACTTTCTTCCCAAGGTCCCATCTGTCTGCCTCCAGAAGAAGAACTCTGGCTCGAATTAATTGCTAAATTCAAGAATGATTATAAACTACTTCTATGACTTATAATCTAGCTAATCATTAAATAAACATTTGTTTATTACTACTTATAATAATTATGGTATAATGAAATGCTTCATTAATCTGCACACTGAATGGATCTATATTATGTGTCTAATAAAATCTGCAATGTGTTCACCATGTTTTGACTACAAGGTTCCACACCTGCATCCACACATAACAAGAACAGCTAAGTTAAAACCCGACACATGATATTAACCCAGTCAAAACATCCTGTATCAAAAAAGGCGAGTTTCTGAGATTCTTGGTAAAAGATCTCCAAACTTGTCAGCCTCTGATTGGATGTCCAAATCATAACATCAAATCCTTAAAACTGAATTGCTTTGAGTGATTTAGCAGTTCTAGAGAAAGCTTTAGACCGGCCATCTTTAGCCATATCTCTTTAGCCATCAAAGATTTTGATGTCGTCAAAACCTTTTTGCACCTACAAAGCTGAGACAGCAAACAGTTCCTGCAGAACAAAGCTGATATTGTTCAACTCCTTAAGAGTTTTTCCTGAGACGCAAGCCGATTCCAACCTGTGCTGCCTGGTGACAACTCGAGCCTGGAAAAGTCGGAGCTTGCAGTCAGTCTACTGGACCTGGGTGCCCCGAGGTCATCCGACCTCTCTGACCTCCGTATCTGTGACGAGGGTCATCAAAGGGTGAGGTAGAACACAGAGTCATTGCGTCTGAATGTGCTTCTGATGATAACAACTTCATAGTTTAACGCAGACCAAATTCTTTTACATCCAGAAAACAGCTTATTTTGATAAGGACGCTCTGACTGATATAGCATCCACACATAGGTTCCAGACATTACCTCCATCCATTCACAGTAAATAATAGTTAACCAATTTGTCGTGTTTTAAATTGTTTGTAAAATAAATTCTTACTTTTATAAACTTGACTCTTTCTTGAAGTAACACGAGGTGTGGTTGATCACTGAAAAAGCAAAGAACCTAGATCTTATGAATTAAATCCTAGAATCTTCTGATTAATTACAAGAAAGACCTCGCAGCTTAATATTTTATATTTATATAGAATATTACATCTTCGTGGTCATAACAGATACAATCATCAATCTTCCTCGGCTACACAGTTAACTTAAATATTTGTTGTCACATTAACAAGAAACATCAGTTTTAACATTGTGACAAATGACACACAACACAAATGATTTATAAGGTATACAGCTTGTTACATAAACATGTGTCTGAAACTTATTGCACTATTGGAGATTTGGAAAATCACAGAATTTTTTTAATGATACATTATTTACCACTATAAAGTAAACACAGAGACCAAAGTACTTTCAAACTTTAGCACATGTGTATTCCAGAATTATTGTACACATAAAGACATTTTCTTTATTACAATTCTTTCTTTTGGTATATCCCTAAAGGCCTACATCAGAATAAGGAATGCTCTTCTTTTGTAGGACATTTATATAAATTATATTACACACGTAGATATTATAGCGGTGTTGAAAATAACACGAGTGTTGTGTTTTTCAAAGATTTCTCATTTTTGAATTCCCAAAGCTTGGGGTGTTTTTTTTTTCACCTCTTGAGGGTTTCCTGTTCATAAACTCCAAACTTTAATGTTGTGTTACCTGAGGATCTTTGTTTGGGGTTAGGGTTAGGGCTAGGGTTGGGTTGGGTTGGGTTGGGCATTGTGACCCAAGTACATTCATCCCAACTCTGTTTCTGGCTGGTTAGAAAAAGTTCCTCCTGGAGGATGATTAGGAACCATGCGTTATCGATGCTTTATTATTCAAAGACTAAATTGTGAGGGAGCCTTTTCCTTTGGCTGAGAAGCCCCCTCACTGAGTTAAGTTTTACTGTTGACATGACATCAGATGGGTGGATGCACTCGTCTTGTCTTTTATTAACTACTTATTTTGATGCACCAAACACCAAACCAAAGGAAATGAGAGAAAAAGACTGTCCCCCACTTCAACCCCTTGATCTTCTGCAGAATGTTGGTCTGTCCTTTGTGGTTTTTCCTGGCAAGAACCGGCTTCTTTGCTGCCCTTTTTGGAAGCAAATGATCTCATTTAATAATCTCTTCCGGCTATGTGATGTTGCAATCAACTGCAGTCTATCAGCTCACTCTTTGTAACAGTCTGAAGTAATGTACAAATGCCATCATAGACACAGATTCAACAAACTTCATGAAAAGTATTATTATTTGCGTCATTTCCTAAACTTTTACCTCTTAATTTTATCCACAAGCAAAAGAGGTGATTTCAAATGAACTCTTTTTAAAAATCTATTTTACACAATAAAGGAAAAAACAGAGTCAATGCTCAGCCATTCTAATAAAATGTTGTTAACTGAATTTTCAATGCCCCCAAATCTTTTGCCAAAGTTTGAAGTAGCATTAGACATCATCTGTGTCTTTGTCACACTACCCGTGAGTCATTTCAGAATCATTTCTCAGTACTGACACATTTTTTTCTCAGTCCATAAAAAGAGAAGTTACTGGTGTCAGTGCACTTATCCTGTTTGTGAGGTGTTTTCAGACTTAAAGCAGAATCACACTGTGCTACAGTAATAAAGACATCCGTGGGAGCAGCATACCAGCTGCAGCTCAATCCTGAGGGGTTTGGTTTATCACCTTCTTCTTCCGAACTGAGACCAAGTCATAGAATGGATCCTTAGTGATACTCGCTCTGTTTGAGGAAAGGATGAATGTCAATAAACATGTTTCGTAGATAGAATAGAGAATAAAATAGAATAGACTTTATTAATCCCACTTGAAGAAAAATAATAAGACTACAGACAAACACATACAAGCAGTAAGCTATTATTCTAACCTTGATGAATAAGACACTAATTTATTTTCTCAGTTAGTTGAAATCACCTAGGGAGGTGGAGTACATGCTTCTCAACACAAATGTGCACACGTTAATCATGCTTACACACACACTCACACTCCATCCATCCATCCATCCATCCATCCATTCATTCTCTTTCGCTTATCCGGAGTCGGGTTGCGGGGGCAACAGCCTAAGTCGAGAGGCCCAGCCTTCTCTCTCCCCTGCCAATTGGGCTAGCTCTTCCGGGGGAACCCCAAGGCGTTCCCTGGAAAGGCGAGAGACATAGTTCCTCCAATTTGTCCTGGGTCTCCCTTTGGGTCTCCTCCCAGTTGGATGTGCCTGGAAAATCTCACCAGGGAGACGACCAGGAGGCATCCTAATCAGATGCTTGAGCCGCCTCAACTGGCTCCTCTCAATGTGGAAGAGAAGTGGATCTTCCCCCGAGCCCCTCTCAGATGGCCGGGCTTCTCACCCTATCTCTAAGAGAGAGCCAAGACACCCTTCGGAGAAAACTAATTTTGGCCGCTTGTTTCTGCAACCTCGTTCTTTCAGTCACTTGCCAAAGCTCGTGATCGTAGGTGAGGGTCAACACATTCTCACACCCGAAGCGTCGAAAACTGACGATGAGTTACCAAGCGTTTGTTTCCAATGCGTTGGAAGCCCCAACACCCCCTTAAACTTCTTAAAGCTGTTGCGCACAACGCCCCTCTCAAACATGGTTAATGGGAAGTTTAGGATGAGGAACAGGGTTAAGGATTGGAAGGGGTGAGGGGAAGGTTTAATAGCAAGAGGTTAGAGGTTAAATGTCAGTGAAATGTGCGCTGTACCATGGGCGTCGGAAACCAACACTCTGGCACAATTTAAAGTTGGAGTCCCAATGCATCAGAAACAAATGCTTGGCCACCGCTTGGTCGACACTTCGGCTGTGATAATGTGTTGTGAGGGTTGGAACGTAGATCGACCGGTAAATCGAGAGTTTTGCCTTCTGGCTAAGCTCTCTTTTCACCATGACAGACCGGTACAATGCCCACATCGCTGCAGACACAGCACCAATCTGCCTATTTATCTCGCACTCCAGCTTTCTCTCACTTGTGGACAAAACCCCAAGATACTTAAACTTCTCCACTTGGGACAGGACCTCATCTCTCATCTGGAGAAGGCATCCTACCCTTTTCTGACTTAAGACCAGAGTCTCGGATTTAGAGGAGCAGATTCTCATCCCAGCCGCTTCACACTTGGCTGCGAATTGCTCCAGCGGAAGCCGGAGATCACGTTCTGGTGAAGCCAACAGGACCACATCATCTGCAAAAAGCAGAGACCCGATTCTCAGGCCACCAAAATGGATCTCCTCAACACCTTGGCTACACATACAAATCTTGTCCATAAAAGAATAGTTGACAAAGTGCAGCCTTGGTGGAGTCCAATGCTCACTGGGAAAAACCCGACTTACTGCCGGCAATGCAGACCAAATTGCAGACTCTGACAGCGGTCATACAGGGACCTAACAGCCCGTATCAGAAGGCCTAGTACCCCATACTCCCAGAGGGGCGCGGTCAAACACCTTCTCCAAATCCACAAAACACACGTAGATTGGTTAGGCAAACTCCCACGCACCCTCCAATACCCCCCCCCCCCCCCCCCCCAATGCTGTTTTCACACTGAAAGCATCACAGGTGTAAAACGGCAGCAGAACGGTTTACTGGCGATCTTTAAACAGTCTTTCACACCGGCAGAGTCTCTGCAGCAGAACAGCTTCCTTGCTGTGCTCTTTGCTGGATTTATTAGATTACACGATCCCTCGAGACCTCAGGTCACGGTTTGTTTATGCTATCCGCCATTAGCCCAAAAAGAAGAAAATTACATTTGACATTGTTGTTTGATGTCATAGATGATATTGCTCTTCTCCACTGCCAGGAATAAAGCCATGCAAAAAAAAAAAAAAAAAAAAAAAAACCACAGCTGTGCTTCTGGAACAATGCTGTGAGTAAATAAGCCATTGGGTCACATGTAAGCTTCATATATATGAAATTGCATCGCTGTAGTACGTTTATTTTGAAATTTACCAGTGATTTTACATTGAAATCATGTGTGATTTCCTGTCTAGCCCTATGTTAACTACGGAAATTGGCGCATCCCAGAAGCAGCAAGTGGCAAAATTAGAACCTGATCCTAACTTTAGTGGTGCAGCGTGCCGCTTCTGGGATGCACCTGGAAATTGCTGCATCGCTGCTGGTTTGAGTCTTGAGTCCAGATAGAAACGACATTGACACTCTAAAATAATTTTTTTCTAAAACTGGTTCTTTAGGGGAACACACTTGTAATGCCACATTTGCATTTTCTTGTGTTGACAGCCAAAACAACCTTCTGAAACTCATGATGTGGTAGCACAATCTCTAAGCTAAATCACTAACCATCTTCTACTTCTTCCTGCTTTCACATTGGGAATGCGTTATTATGCTTATGCTACACACCTAGTTGCTACTGTTTGGCTGTATTTATGATACAGGTGTGGTGTAGTTACTACAGCATTGAATGTGATTTGAGGATTTTTAGCCTTATTGCATTTCTAGAAACAATCCTGTGTTTCTATGGATGTTTTTGAAAGAGAAAATGAAAATAAGGTTTCTTTGTGGGCATGGCAACATGTATTAAACCTTAAACAGGTGTAAATAAACACAAGCTATTTACTGATCTGTGTGTGGGAAAAGAACCAAAAAACAATGTAAACCGGTCTTTTTTATCATTGTGATGTATCTAATTTAGTCGTCGTCGTTGTCTTCCTCCGCTTGTCCGGGTCGCGGGGGCAGCATCCCAACTAGGGAGCTCCAGACCGTCCTCTCCCCAGCCACCTCCACCAGCTCCTCCGGCAGGACCCCAAGGCGTTCCCGGACCAGATTGGAGATGTAACCTCTCCAACGTGTCCTGGGTCGACCCGGGGGCCTCCTGCCAGCAGGACATGCCAAAACACCTCCCCAGGGAGGCGTCCAGAAGGCATCCTGACCAGATGCCCAAACCACCTCAACTGACTCCTTTCAATCCGGAGGAGCAGCGGTTCTACTTCGAGTCCCTCCCGAATGTCCGAGCTCCTCACCCTATCTCTAAGGCTGAGCCCGGCCACCCTACGGAGGAAACTCATTTTGGCTGCTTGAATCCGTGATCTCGTTCTTTAGGTCATTACCCAAAGCTCATGACCATAGGTGAGGATTGGGACGTAGATCGACCGGTAAATCGAGAGCCTGGCTTTCTGGCTCAGCTCCCTCTTCACCTAATTTAGTGTTGCACATAATTTTTTATGTTTATTTGCCCCTCTGATTTGTTTGTTTATATTTGTGTAATTAAGTGTTAGATTTCTGACCTGATGGCTTCAATCCAGGAATCTCTTTCTTCAGCACTGGAGGCACAAATGGTGTAGGACTGGTGCTTCCCCTCCACCACCCTGCCATCTGTCTCTGTTTTACACGCTTTGATCTTCTGACCTCTACTGTTTGGGTTGTACAGCTCCAGACAGTACTAAACGACACCAGACAGCTAACATCAGAGTCATTCTGAAGCATCCCTTGAATGTTCAGTTTAACTGGGTTAGATCACAGACGTACTTGTTTTCGAGTGGATGCCACTTCTCTCACACAGAGATTTTCTAGAGGGATGATACCTCTGGGCTCTTTATCCTGAAAATAGTTTGGAAAACAAATGGTCCTCATTAAAATATAACGAGCCCTAATAAGCAACACTTAAAGAGCCTGTTATAAATTATAAAATTTTCCTACAAATATATATTTATGAATTTTCTTCTGATATGTAAACCTTACAGTGGTAAATTCAAAATAATAAAGGCAGCTGTCAGTCAGGATGAACCATCGTCTCTTCCACGTCTTAACGCGGCCTCCTGATATACAAACACATCAAAAACATGTTTCTTGTTACTGGAGGATTACAAATCTTCAAAATTCCCCATCAACAAAAATACAACAGAAACTTCTAGAAGGTATCTGAGTACGTCGAAAACTTGCGAAACCAAACCACTACGGATGTTTTGGTCACATGTAAACTCAAAAAAGTCCACTCTCGTGCAGAGTTATGCTCTTAGCACTTCCTCTCTTGTTTTTTTATGGGTCAGTTTTAATATGATACACAAATAAAAGAATCTTGTGTTAATAAAGTGATTAAACAAATGAATAAATTACCAAGTTTGAGCAGCCAGCCTTCTCTCTCGGGGTTGAAAAACGTGTGAGTTAGATCATTTCCGTCATCCTCGGGTATTTTGAAAGGCTCGTTGCGTATGCTCTCGTAGAGTTTCTGAAAGTAAAGGAGTTTTTCAGACTTAGTAAGAAGTTATAAAATAAAAGTTGGGAATATCAAGGATTATGTGATTTGCTGCTTCTCCGGCTTGGACAGATTAGACGGGGGTTCTATTTCTGACATCACAAAAGGGAACATTTTCAAATGGGTTGTTTTAGGCATGTATTTCCTACAACAAGCAGACAGGAAATGGCTGGGTGGGTTTTTGTTTTCTCCTTTGGGTGTTTATAGAGTCAGCAAAGGCCCACACGATAGCACGCAAGGTGGTTTTGGCATAGTGTGTCCCCTTTAAATAACCTCTTTTTCTTTTCTGTGCCCAGCAGGATGTTCTCACCGAGAGCAGATCGTTAGGCAGGTCTTCTCCATTGTTAATGCCTCTGTTCATGGAAATAAAGCGATCCAGATTGGTTTTGTCCTTCACGTTGGGGTTGTGAAGGCTGGTGTTCAGCATGATGATGGCAAACGACAGGATGTAGCATGTGTCTGAGAAAGAGGCAACAAAGTAGTAAAATGTCAATCAGTCTCTGAAAATACAACAAATACCAGATAATGTTATGCCCAGAAAGTCTTCAGGCAAAGAAGTGAGGCCACACAATCAATTGGACCAACCTGCAGACTGGAAGACGTGAGTGTTGCATTCACAGTAGCGTGTGGCGAAGGCCTCCATCATTCGGTCAATTTTCTGAGCTTCACCAGGCAGACGGAAACTCCACAGGAACTGTCTGTCACGCAAACAACCACAGTGGATAAACGTGACACATGTTGACCACAAAACCTACATAAACATGTAAGTTTGTGGTCAAACGTGTAAGCACCTGTTACAACACACCTACAACTGAAACTTGACCTTTAGGTCCCACTTTCTTTCCAGACTAGTTTGGATAAAATGGTTATAGAGCATGTTTTCCCATTGTGCATGTCAGATAGTCAAATGCTGTTTTGCAAACATTACTTTACAGAATTTGAACAGCATAATTGTAAAACATGAAGAAAATATTGTGTAAGAATGATAATACTGCTCATTTTGGAAAACATGGTCAAATGTTACAAAATGTTTCAGTTGTTCAGTGGTGAGGTGAGGATTGGGACGTAGATCGACCGGTAAATTGAGAGCCTGGCTTTCTGGCTCAGCTCCCTCTTCACCACGACAGATCGGCTCAGCGTCCGCATCACTGCAGACGCCGAACTAATCCGCCTGTCAATCTCCCGATCCCTCCTGCCCTCACTTGTGAACAAGACCCCAAGATACTTAAACTCCTCCACTTGAGGTAGGACCTCTCTCCCGACCTGGAGTTGGCAAGCCACCCTTTTCCGGTCGAGAACCATGGTCTCAGATTTGGAGGTGCTGATCCTCATCCCAGCCACTTCACACTCGGCCGCGAACTTACCCAGCAAGAGCTGAAGGTCAGAGCTGGAGGAAGTTAGAAGGACCACATCATCCGCAAAAAGCAGAGACGAGATTCTCCTGCCACCAAACTCGACACACTCCACACCACGGCTGCGTCTAGAAATTCTGTCCATAAAAGTAATGAACAGAACTGGTGACAAAGGGCAGCCCTGGCGGAGTCCAACCCTCACTGGGAACAGGTCCGACTTACTACCGGCTATGCGGACCAAACTCGCGCTCCTCTGGTAAAGGGACTGAATGGCCCTTAACAGAAAGCCACCCACCCCATACTCCTGGAGCGTCCCCCACAGGGTGCCCCTGGGGACATGGTCATAAGCCTTCTCCAAATCCACAAAACACATGTGGATTTGTTGGGCAAACTCCCATGCCCCCTCCATCACCCTTGCAAGGGTATAGAGCTGGTCCACAGTTTCATGGCCCGGACGAAAACCATATTGCTCCTCCTCAATCTGAGATTCAACTATCGATCGGACCCTCCTCTCCAGTACCTTGGAGTAGACCTTTCCAGGGAGGCTGAGGAGTGTGATCCCCCTATAGTTGGAACACACCCTCAGGTCACCATTCTTAAAGATGGGGACCACCACCCTGGTCTGCCACTCCACAGGAACTTCTCCTGATGACCACGCAATGTTGCAGAGACGTGTCAACCATGACAACCCTACAACTTCCATAGCCTTGAGATACCCAGGACGAATCTCATCCGCCCCCGGTGCTTCGCCGCTGTGTAGTTGTTAGACTACCTCAGCAACTTCTGCCCCCGAGATTGGACAGTCCATTCCCAGGTCTCCCGGCACTGGTTCCTCCTCTGTGTTGAGGGTCTGACCTCATGAGGAAATTACTATGCAGTGATTTTCTCCAAAATGACTGTGCTTAAATTGCTCTGAAAAGCAAATAATCACATCAGCGCCAAGAAACTTCATTTCCCATGATGCTTTGCACACGGAAGCATTGTGATGATGTCACCGCCTAATACCAGAAACACGTTCTGCGCATGTGCAGGAGGCGGGAGCTCATGGACGCTTTCCCGCGACTTCAAAGACTATAAATCATTAACGGAACAAAGAAAACTCCGTTCTTTTGCCCAGGATACCTGGCGGTAAGGACACGCTTGTCGAACGCTCCGACTCCCTTGAGCACGCGGAAGCTCTAAGTGCCCAAGTTGAGCCACGGAACCGCTGGAAAGCCACTCCAACTCCATCAGGACCTGGCTGGGAACGAGCGGAGCTCCATCCAGCTCTCAGAGACGCTGTAAGTTGTCAAACTCAGCACAAAAGAAACTTCGTTCTCTTTGTGTCCAGCCCGTGGAGAAACACTCACGGAGAACGCCAAACAACGGAGAAAGCATCAAACCGACGGACAACGCCGAAAGCTGCGGAGAAACACGGAGAACTGTCAAATCAAAGAGGAAGGGACTTCTGGTGATCAGAAACTCATCTCTTTCTCTCTCTCCTTCTTCTATTTCCTCTATAGTCCAGAATAAGCAATAAAACCGCGCTATTGCTTAAAAAGTAGCTTCGTGTTTTCCTCTTTCGTCCCAAACACGTCCGTCGGATCATTTTGAAAGAATAAACTGCTTATTTATCATTGTTTGAATATCTTTAAATGTTTCCTACTATGGCCAAGTGGTGAAACTAAAAGATATTAACTTGTGATTAATCTTTTGTGTTGTTTCATGATCCTTTGAAATGTTTTGAGTGATTTAAGGTTAAGTTACTACTGATTCTAAGTGCTTTGGAAGTTAAAGTGCAAGTTGCCACCCCCACTTTAGCCAGACAAAGGGGTCAGTCATCTTGTATTCAAGACTCCATTTTGAATCCATACACACACACACATACACACACACACTCTACTCCTTTGTGAGAACAAAGGACCCCATTCATACATCCTCCATCACACGCAAACACATCCATCTTCAATCATATCACGTGGTTATTATTCATTTGTTCCATTGTTTATTCATTTAACAAATTGTTTAATTAAATGTTATAAAATTCAGATTTTTGTGTCCAGTAGCTTTGTTGTGTCCAAGAGAAGTCTCTGCTCCGAGGATTCTACGAACTTCAAGAAAGACTGATAAGAGTTTTGGATTCAATTTTTCCCCGGTAGAACGGGGTGGTGCCCCGGATGTCTAAGAATATCTTAATTAATTAATAAATCAGTAAATATTCTCATATTTACAGAATTTATTGAAGAATCCAAAAGTAAGTTGAAGCTTACTAATTGTTCGCTCCTAATAACCCCAACATCGGAATGCGTAGGTGGGATTGAGGAGCTCCTCAAAGTATTCCTTCCACCGTCCAACTATAGCCCCAGTTGACGTCAGCAGCTCCCCATCCCCACTGTACACAGTGCGAGCGAGTTGCTGCCTCCCTCTCCTGAGGCGCAGGACAGTTTGCCAGAACCTCTTTGGAGCAGATCGATAGTCTTTCTCCATGGCCTCACCAAACTCCTCCCACGGCCGAGATTTTGCCTCGGCAACTGCCACTGCTGCACCCCGCTTGGCTATCCGGTACCTGTCTGCTGCCTCCGGAGACCCAGAGACCAGCCACACCCTGTAGGCCTCCTTCTTCAGCATGACGGCTCCCTGAACCTCTGGTGTCCACCAGCGGGTACGGGGGTTGCCACAACGACTGGCACCGGCCACCTTGCAACCACAGCTAGCAACAGCCGCCTCAACAATCGCACAGTGGAACAAGGCCCACTCAGAGTCAATGTCCCCCACTGCTCTCAGGACGCGGTCAAAGGTCTGCCGGAGGTGGGAGTTGAAGACCGTCTTGACAGGTTCTTCTGCCAGGCGTTCCCAGCAGACCCTCACTATGCATTTGGGTCTGTCAGGTCTACGCGGCATCTTCCCCTGCCATCTGATCCAACTCACCGCCAGGTGGTGATCAGTTGACAGCTCCGCTCCTCTCTTCACTCGGGTGTCCAAAACATACGGCCGCAGGTCAGTTGATACGACTACAAAGTCTATCATCGACCTGCGGCTGCCCTGGTACCAAGTGTACCGATTGTCATCCTTATGTTCGAACATGGTGTTCGTTATGGCCAAACTGTGGCTTTCACAGAAGTCCAATAACGAAACACCTCTCGAGTTCAGATCAGGCGGGCCATTCCTCCCAATCACACCCCTCCAGGTCAAGCTGTCATTGCCCACGTGAGCATTGAAGTCCCCCAGCAGGACAATGGAGTCCCCTGATGGAGCACTATCTAGCACTCGTCCCAGGGACTCCGAAAAGGGTGGGTACTCTGAACTGATATTTGGCCCATAAGCACAAACAACAGTCAGGACCCGTTGCCCGACCCGAAGGCACAGGGAAGCAGGGCCGGCTTTGTCGACAGGCGACACAGGCGGCCGCCTGGGGCGCCATCTGATGGATAGGGCGCAAAATAAAAAAAAATAAAAAAAGTTCATTAAATTCATGTTTGTAATATGAAATGCACTCTCTAAACACTCAAAATTCCCCTTTGACATGATATGAAATTAAAACATCAATATTTAAATTCTAACGATCTGGCTGCATTTCGAGCTCCCGCTTGAGCCACCGCTCCGATGCATTTGACTGTTAAGGTTGCCATACAGATTACGTGTGTGGGTGGCACTGTAGAAGGACTTCCTGTTGTCGCGTTTAAACGTTTGATATTTTACGAGGAAAAGAACGCCTAAGCCATCGGGATCAGCATTCCGAAAGCGAAGGAAGGAAGAAGAAAATAAACGGGCCCAAAGCAGAGGTATGTAGACTTTATAAGTTTGGCAAAGGAACTTTTTGCGTTAGCATTGTAGCTAACTGCCTCTCCTGCCACGCACGGTCCACGGACGGACCCTCGCTAGCTGTTTACACACACAATACAGTATCTGTAACTTTAACCAATTCATTTTACTTTTGAATCGTCGTGCCCAGATGCAGTGAGACAATGTTGAGTCTCACTGTGATGATGAAGAATGTAAGATTTTTTACTGGTTTTTGGAGCTTGATTGCAGCCTTTTATGAACGTTGTTTTGAATTTAATATTTGTATATCAGAAGAACGTTAGGTGTGGGTGTAGCAAATTTTCAACTTTGTCCGACACATCGGGCGGGCGGCACCGCCGCCGCCGTTGCGGTGACTCCCCCGCTGCCGCCGGGCCCGGCGGGGAGTGAGAACTGCCTAAACTCAGCATGACATCTTATTTCGTCTCTTTCTTGTTTACGCTGCAGCGTCTTCATCCAGGCATCACGCAGCACTGGGCTACAGTCTCAGCATCTAGAACCAGGTGAGTAAGTTACTTGTTAGGCTATTTGTAATCAGCAGTAGAAACGGGCTTTTTCACGTTAAACGGCTTATCACATATATCGATATGCAAAATTAATTCATTTAAATCCACACCAGACACGTGTTTTTGGCACAATCAGTGCAGCATTGATTTAGCATTGAGAATATTAAATAATCTCAACCTACACATCTGAAATCGTCTTCTTAAGATGTTATTGTCAGTTAGGCTGTAAATTTGTAAAAAAGGATGGACGTTAGTTTTTGTGACATAGTGAGTCATCTTCAAGGTAGAAAGGTTTATGCCCTGAAGAAGGTCGTACCGAAACGCGTCGGTGTTTCCTTGTTTAATAAATGAAATCCTCAGAGTGCCTCAGATCACCGGATCTTCTTCCTCATGTTCTACTATTTATTTGATGCTGAAGAGCACCTGAGAGTGAGACATACGTTTTTTCAAATATTCCCCATGGATGCACTCACTTCCACCTGTTTTTGATCATTTTATTCATGTTTTCATAGAACAGATTTAAAAAGATCAATAAAATAAAAAGTCCAGTAATATTAAAAATAATGAAAAGCATCAATGCACATGACTGAGGAATACTGAACGTGAAAGTGGCGCTGTTCTTAATTCATGCATCAGAGGGTTAAGTGTGTGTGTGTGTGTGTGTGTGTGTGTGTGTGTGTGTGTGTGTGTGTGTGTGTGTGTGTGTGTTTTTTCACAGAAGAAGAACCCAACACCAGCAGACTCAGTGCTCCAAGCCAACAGCCTGAAGAGACGCCATCATCAGCTTCAACAGATGTGTGTGAACATGTAGGAGCTGCTGGCCCCGTGGATCCTGCTGACTGGCCACAGCAGTAGAACAAAATGGAAAGTAGAACTTTCTTTATGATGACACTTTGATGTTTGAGTTTTGCTTTTGATTGCACAGTTGTTGATTTTGCATTCCCCCCCCCCCCCCCCCCCCCCAATGACATTTGCACAACATTTTGAGTTGTTGGTTATTGTAATATTCTCAGGTTACTCATCTTTCTAGCTTACATTTATTCTTCAGGCTGTTGACTTTAAAGAGTTGCTGTGTGAACATTTAAAATAAAAAATTAGTAACTAAGGAATAACTGTGGAGTTGCGTTTTCCAATGTGTGGACTTGGGTTTGGGTTAGAGGCGGGGGGCGGGGGGGGGGGGGGGGGGGGGGGGGCGAATGGGCACTCTCGCCTTGGGCACCAAATTACCCAGAGCCGACCCTGCAGGGAAGCTACCCTCTCATCCCCCGGGGTAAACCCCAACACACAGCCAGAGAGTCTTGGGGCTAACAAAAAGCCAACCCCAGGCCTCCGCCTCTCACACGGAGCAACTCCAGCAAAGGAGAGAGTCCAACCCCTCTCAAGGACTTGGGTTCCAGAGACAATGCTATGTGTCGAGGTGAGTCCGACTATATCTAGCCGGTACCGCTCAACCTCTGCCACAAACTCCTGCTCCTTCCCGGCCAGCGAGGTGACGTTCCATGCCCCAAAAACCAGTTTCCTTGTCCGGGGATCGGACCGCCAAGGCTCCCACCTCGGTCTGCCACCTGATCCACACTGCACTGGACCCTTCATGTTCCTCCTGCGGGTGCTGGGTCCACAGCTGTGATTACATCACCATGGTAACTTTCAATTTAACTATTAGGAGAAATTTAGTTGGTCATTCTACTACAAGAAGCTACATTAATGGACTGATTTTTGTTTTGTTTTGTTTAACTAGGAACATTTATTTTCTGTAGTTATTCTTTTTTTGATATTTCCTTTAGATGAGTGGTTGACTAGGGCAGTGCTGAGGGGGGAGCGGCACACCAAAGACCACCGCCCCGAGCTCACCACTCAGAGACAAAACAGAAGCCAGGGACAACACACACACACACACACACACACACACACACACACACACACACACACACACACACACACACACACACACACACACACACACACACACACACACACACACCCCTGCTCTTGGATGACAACATCATCACCACCACCCTCCTCTCCTGGTTAGAGATTCTCTGACGGAGAATTGTTTTAGATTGTCTGTTTTATGGAAAGAAAGTTTTTGAGCAAATAATTGAATTTACCCCAAGAAAAGTAACAGAATCTGGTCAAGCAGACATAATGAGACACAGCGGCACCACGCACCGAAATCCAGGGCAGACAATGGCTTGGGACCCCCGGTCCACAAGTGGCCCCGTAAGGGTCCACAAACTGAACTAACCCAGAACTGCAACAGTAGTGAGACAGTGCAAAGCTGTCATTGGACACCACTGGTGCCATCCCACAGTTGTTGGGGCCTTCCACCTCCCACCTGACTTCTTAAACAGAGACCAACCACACACTTCCTTGTCTGACACCCCAGTCTTGTCTATGTCATGCCGCCTCCTCCCTACTCGAACTGACTTGTCCGTGCAGCAGCAGCAGCCACCTATGCTCCCAACAGGTCTTCTTGCTTGGGGCCCCATGACAACATTGCAGAGCCACTGTTGAGACAGATGTGCGGGTAAAGGGGACTAACCTGAGAGCCTGGACCAGGTTTAAGTCAGCAAACTCATGCAGCTCCACAAAGACCTTTAGCGTATCAAGATGGAGTGTTTCCCTGTGTGAGAAAAGAAGAAAGGAGACTAAAAGTTTTTTTTTTAGAAGAAACCAGAAAGCACAGATGAAACTACATTTACTCATCCTGAACTTGTTATTCCCGTCTTGTTAACCCTCTCAGGCTCAAAATAAGTTTTGATAAAAGGACGAACAACTAAGTCCTTACTAAATGCTCATGAAATACATATGTGGAGTAACCAGGTAGGTAGGTTTTAATGTTGCAAATCTGCAACGCCTGCCTCCAGAGAGTTAAAGCTGTTTTGCTTTTAAAACAACTCTAAATCTGTCATTTTTTTCTCTCATGTTCTATGTCATACTTTACATGCTATCTTTGCGATCTCTCCTCTGTTTCACCTTTCTCCAAGGAATTCGCCGATGGCCGTCTTGTTGAGTCCATCCTCCTTGTATAGAAACTCTGCGATGGACCGAGCGCCTCCATCCAGCAGCTTGTTCTCCACCAGGTAGTCGACACCCTGCATAAAAGTGAATTCCATTTTTATTCTAGTTGATGAATTCACATCTTGTCTGCATGGACCAGCAGAGGTGGTAACGATTGCTAGTTTACCCATTTTAATTAACTAGCTCTTTTAAAGATTTCACTTGGGAGAGACCAAGACGAACTATGATTGGATCTGCGAGCTGATGGCTAGTCACAGCAAAACCAACAACTCCAGACTCAAAATGATCGTGGTTTCTGCAGCTGTTATTTTTTACTTTTTCACACCTATTATCAAGGCCACTTCATACTGGTATATTGAACTCAATGGTTGTTTGCACAAATAAGCAAGTGCAGTCAGCTGTGGATCTGCTGGCATAAACACTAACTGAAGAAATTGAAATTTTAATAAAATAGCTTTTGCATGCATTACAATGATTTGAGTTTATATATATTTTTTAAATTTGTTATTATGACTTTTTTGGGGCCCTTCCAGGATTAGTCATTTAAGGGCTCTGTCACTTTAAGAAAACAAGCTGAACTGGCCCCACCCACCCATCCCCCACTCAGGTTGCTATAAGCTGAGAAGCTCTAATATTCAGAAGAGGCTCCGAATAGAGCTACTGCCACTCCAATATTAACTTGTCTGTGTTGAGTGAGGTTTCTACAACAGTTTCCCTTTTTGTGACGTCATAAACAGGAAATAAAAAAAACTTACATCTGAAACCAAACACTGACAGAAAGCCAATGAATTTGATTTTTTTTTTCTTTCTTAATGTTTGGAGCATTGGCTAGGGAACGCCTTGGAATTTCCCTGGAGGAGCTGGCCCAAGTGGCTGGGGAGAGGGAAGTCTGGGCCTCTCGACTGGCTACTGCCCCCGTGACCCGACTCCGGATGAGAGGATAAAAATGGATGGATGGATGTTTGGATTATTTTAGAGGCCGTGGAGACCCACTTGGCAGCAAAAAGGCTGCAAAAGGTGAGTTTTGCATTATTTGTCCCACTTAAAACAACATTTGTGTCATTTATACTTAGACTAGTTGTTAGCTTATCAGTCAGAGTCTAATTAGAACTAATCTTTGCAGCAACTCAGAGATCTATTGACCAAAAATATTTTGCTTTCAACTTTTTCACACAGCCCCAGCCCCACTTCAAATTATTGTTTTCTTCATCATCAAGTAAACTTGGATTATTTCTGATTCTGAATATCTAATCTTTTAGTGGCGCAGTGGTTAGACCTGTTGCCTTGCAGCGAGAAGGTCCTAGGTTTGATTCCCGGCCTGGGATCTTTCTGCATGGAGTTTGCATGTTCTCCCTGTGCATGCGTGGGTTCTCTCCGGGTACTCCGGCTTCCTCCCACGGTCCCAAAACATGACTGCTAGGTTGTTTGGTCTGTCTAAATTGTCCTTAGGTGTGAGTGTGTGCATGGTTGTTTGTCCTGTGTGTCTCTGTGTTGCCCTGCGATGGACTGGCTCTCTGTCCAGGGTGTGCCCCGCCTACCTGCCCGTTGACTGCTGGAGATAGCCCCCCCCCCCCGTGACCCTGCGTGGACAAAGCGGGTTCAGAAGATGAATGGATGGATAGTCTTTTGTGATCAGTGATGAATCCATAACAAAGCAAATTTTAGCCATTAGTCAGAATTCTTAAAGATTATTCATCACTCTCTAATGCTGTTGTGGTTTAAAGTCAAGAGGAACCATTGGTACCTGGAAAAGTTCATATTAAAGTTGAAAAAAAGAGCTAGAGCTACACAGTTTCCCATTCTCTGCACTGCATGTTAGTTTCACAATGATCTCATCTGAAGTTGCTAAAACAAAGTGCAGAGCTTCCGTAATCTCAATTCCTTAAAACTAATTTCTGTTCCTCTTTCCTAATCATCACAGGCTCCCTATTTTTTATCTTTTGTGATCTAATGTAAAGCATTTCCTTTATCAAGGCAATGACCAACATGGTGTTTTAAAGAGAATTATGAAGTAAAACAGTCTAACCAATCACAAACACAAACTGCACAAAATAAAGTTACAGTGAGATGACTGACTCTGCAGAAAAACCATAGAACTGCTGGGAGCCACAGTTTAGCCGCAGCAGTCAAACACAACACTCAGAGTGATCGATCAAAAACGCTGTTACAGCACACACACACACACACACACACACACACACACACACATAGAAAATAGCTCCTGGCTCACCTTTTTGGGGTCCATGTTGAACTTCTTCTTTCCTCTTGAAAACTGTTTGTTTTTCTCAAGTGTTTTGCTGCAGAACATCATTAAAAATAATTTTAAGTTATGTTTTGTGTGTTAAATTGAGATTTCATACGTGTGTGTGTGTGTGTGTGTGTGTGTGTGTGTGTGTGTGTGTGTGTGTGTGTGTGTGTGTGTGTGTGTGTGTGTGCGTGCTTAATGAACTGAACTGTATTGGAATGTTTACTTTATGCCTTGAGACAACCCTTGTGATTTGGGGCTATAAATAAACTGTATTTGTATAGCGCCTTCTTAGGGTTCTACAACCCCCCAAATCACTTCACAACACAATCAGTCATTCACCCATTCACACTTTCACACGCTGGTGGGGATGAGCTACAATGTAGCCACAGCTCCATCTCTCCCTCACTCATGAAGAAGACCCACGAGATACTTCAACTCCTCGACTTGAGGCAGGACCTCATTCCTGACCTGGAGAAGGCATTCTACCCTTTTCTGATTCAAGATCATGGTCTCAGATTTAGAGACTTTTATTTGTATAAAAAACAAAAATATGCACCAAGACTTTCCAAAAATGTTTATTTGACTTTAAATTGTAACAAAACATTCAAACATGCAATTGTTTGTGTGTGTGTGTGTGTGTGTGTGTGTGTGTGTGTGTGTAAAAATTTATTTTAGAATAAAATGTTTAATAATTACTGTTAATTAAAAAGAATAATACTGAATAATTAAACACTTCTTTCTGCAAAGTCCGTGTGTGATAGGATTGTTAGAAAACAACTACAAAACTGAAACGTCTTTTTCATTTCTAATTTTAAACATGATAACCAAGGAAAATAACGTGTGGGTTGTTAAGTAGGTGCAGGGTTTCCCCCCAGACTAAAACTCACCTTTCTTCTGCAGACTCAAAGCTGAGGATTTCTGCCATGACGTTGTCGATCTCAATCTTTAACTTCTGTTCATCAAAAAACAATTAAAAAGTTAATTATTAGATTCTTTGATAGTAAAAGCCAAACAAAATTCAAATCCTAAACCTTGAGTAGATTATTGTGTAGCTACTGAGACAGAATCTACGTTTAAAAATGACCTGGATGTCATCCAGAAGCTCTTTCTTGTACATCTTGATGCTCTCAATCTCCATCCTCTCGTCTGCAGTGAAATCTGAGGAAACTACACAGACAGGAACAAAAATATCCATCAGATTGTGCAGCACCAGGCTAAAGGTCAAAGGTGACAGATCATCTGCTGCTGTGGCCCCCAGACTCTGGACCTCTCTCCCCCTGAGCCTGAGATCAGTGGACTCAGTGGTCTCCTTTAAAAAGCAGCTGAAGACTCACTTGTTCAAGCTGGCTTTTGTATGACCTTCTTCACCTCTCTCTCTTTGTTCTGCTCTCCCCACCTATTCCACCTTCCTCAGGATCCACTGGTTTCCCTCTTTCCTGTTCATTCTCTCTCTTAACATTTTTTGATCACAATTGCGTATTTTTGTGCATTTTAAATATAATTTTAAACATTTTCTAAATGCTTTTTTATATTTTTACAGTTTTTGCTTTTGTGAAGCGCCTCGTGATTTTTATCTTGAGAGGCGCTACAGAAATGATATTTTCTTTTTCGTCAGTTAAATTATTAAATAGTCCCAACCCATGAAACACTCTGTGATTTCTCTGGAAGAGTCTAAAGAAGCCGAACAGCTGCTGTGGTTTTCTGTTGAATTACAGTTTCATCCATGTTATAGGTATAAATCTTAAAACATACACACACATACACACACACACACACACACACACACACCTAAAACATACAGAAAAATTCAGAATGCTCATTTTAAAAGCGGATATCCAAACTCTGCATATTTCATTTCTATCAAACCTTCACACCTCCTTGGAAATGTTTTAAAGTAACGTCAATTAAGTTACTAATTTTCTAATTTTATAGAAAAATATATTTTAAGCAACAATCTGATCTGAAGTATCTTCATCAAGTCTATGATGCTCTCGGCACCCCACCTCAGTTGATGTTAAAGTGACAATGTGTATTTTCCTTGTCGAAATGGAGCAATGCATACACAAATCATTGTAAGCAAGCAGTATTTTTGTGTTTGAGTAAGAAGACCTCACCAACGGATACCCATTAGGGTCAAAAACCTCCAGCAAAATGAGAAGCACATCTAATACCCTTTCATCACTGCAACAAGTGAAGAGGTAAAACAACTACGTTTATGGGTGAAAGTTTTGTAACCATTTGTTATAAATCAATAAATGTGTTTTGTCCTCACGGGCTCCAGTAGAAGGAAGCACGGCATCCATTATGGTATCGCGACTTAGACCCACTCCCATGTATTTTAGACTCCATTTTTATGGTCATATGTTCCAAAGCCGCCAATGTCCTTCAACAACTGGGGATCATTTAATTCATTTTCAACAATATTTGGATGGATGTTTCCAGAGATTAATGGTAAAAACTACACATTGTCGCTTTAAGAAAAGTTTCATTTTCTCTATATGTTGTAAAAATCCATCTATTTGACATTTCCACACTCCTACTTTTCTCATGTCTTTTATTTGCTTTTTCAACCTCTCCACCACCCCAACACCTACCTCCAGTCTCATGATTAAGCTCTCATCATTTGTTCCCCCCTCTGGCCACCCACGCACACCCCACTGGTTGTCTTTCACCTTTAGCTTCCTAATTCTAGCTTTGGCTGTTTTTCAATAATCACTCCCCACCACTGCCACATTTACTTCTCCAGTACTCAATGCTTTGTTGTAATTCTGTTTGTTTTCTGTTTGTTTTGTCTGTAAAGCACTTTGTGACTTCTGTCTGTAACGTGCTATATAAGTAAACGTAATCACTCTCGCTCCTTTTTTTAGTCTGTGAAACGCAGTAAGCAAGAGAAAATGTAATCAGAAACCAGCAGCACAAGTTCTTGATAGCTTCACAGCTCCTGACTCAGTTAGCTTGGGTGTGCTGAATGTTCCAGTGACCAGCACCACCATGTTTGTTGACCTTAACCAACTCCTGATTGAGGGAGGGGATGCCGTTACACAGCAGAATGTGACCAGAAGACCTGACGAGAGCCATTCTGCAGCACCCGAAGCACCCAGCTGACAGAATTTACAATCAGCATCTGAAGGAGGACGGAAAGTTAAAAAGACTCCTGGATCTCGTCCTCGGAGCAGCAGACCGGAGGCGTCTGTTGTCTCCTTGGCGGATATTGTAGCATACAAGCAGCAGATGCGTGTTTTGTGTCTTAGTGTTTCCATTACATGTGCTTTTTCTGAAGAGGGATAGTCCCCTATTAGAAACACAGGAGAGGTCGTGTTTAAAACCGCTTGTGTTGGCAGGGGAGTCCCTGATTGGATTTAGTTGAAGTTTAGTGTTCAGTGGTAAAATTAGAGGGTGTATCTCAATGCCAAGGAACCTTGCCTTGATGTCTTTGTCCCGCCCCTGTTGCCTAGGAGATATGTAATCAGGAACCTCCAAGGCATGATCCAATGTTCATGTTCTACCAAGGCATCTGTTCTCCATTTGTTAGCCGTTTAGCTAGCTGAGCAAGGATACATGGGAGGTGTCTTGTAGCCTAGCCTTGGTCAAAGATTTCCCAGAATACAACGAGGTATTTTCAAAAGGATGGCGGATCAGAAGCCAGCAGCCACTTCAGGGGCAAATTTAAAGTTTAAATGTAAGTACATTGGGTACTTATTGTACCCATAAGGTTGATATCTAAAATGTATTTTTTATATCCAAAGCAGTTATCTATGGTTGGTTAGTTAGCTTAATACTTGCAGCTTTTTTGGCTAGCAGGTAGTCACTTGCTTACATATTTACTTTAACCAATATATACACAATTAAAATGGCTCGTTATATATTTATATTGAAACTTACACATATAAAATATGACATTACCTCCCGTGTCATGTGACGTGACCACCGCGGAAGCCACAGTCACGCGATGCAATTCTGTTCCATTTAATTGTCTTCATTGATCAAGGAAGGACACTGTCCTTCTAAGCAAGGCGCCTGGCCTCGCAAGACATCGCCTTGCGAGGCCAGGCGCCTTGACAGTAAGAAACACTTCAGTCTCGGTTTAGACGTGGTGGTTTCACTAACAAAACACCTTTACAGCCGATTCAGCTCTATCAGAGAGCTTTGTGTAGATCAGGGGTGGGCAATTATTTTTTCCATGGGGCCACATGAGAAATAGAAAATATTGTGGAGGGCCGCAGGCCAAAAGGCTGAAGTCAATTATGCATAATATTAATGGTATTTCTTTATAAAAAGCAGTAAATACCATTGTTTCTTCAAGCTGGTAAGAGTAGACTATATGTTATAAATGAGCAAAAAGGAAAAAGTGAGGTTGGCTTACAAAAATGTGATTTATTCAAATTTCCCAAGGCAATGGTAAACAAAGTGCACATTTGGTTTTTGTTAAACATTTGTGACTTATATTAGTTAACAGTTTCAGTCACATTCACTCCAAAACACATTCTGAGTTTCAAATATTGTTGGAAAGAGGTTCTTAGCATTCTACAGACACACAGTATTGTCTGTAAAATAAAATCACTGAACTGTGATCTTGAGAAAGAGGTTTAAAAAAAGTGTCCCAGTTCACTGCTAGTTGCCTACATTTGTGGTCCAAACACCTTATTTTGTGTTTTTAAGCAATTTTTTTCTTATTCAGTGAGAGAAATCTAGTCTCTGCTGGGCTTTAACGAGTGCATCAAAGTCAGGTTGAATGTCTGAGGTGGAGAAGCGAAGCACAGCTGACAAATGATCATCAGTGAGAGAGGATCTATACCTGGATTTTGTAAACTTCATCATTGAAAAATGTTTGTTCACAAATGTAGGTAGAGCTGAAGAGAACCAACATCTTCTGAGCATGTCTCTTCAGGTTTGGGAAATCCTCCTTAAGAGAAGAGTAGAAATCCAGCAGAGATCCTGAATCTCTGCTTTCGAGTCCCAAACCCTCTTCAGCACTTTCCCCAGGCTGAGCCATCTGACAGCTGTGTGGAGTCCTCCACAAGAGCCACAAACTGTCTGTGATCCATCGCCCGCGCCCTGATGAAGTTTATTATTTTAGTAACAACATCAGTAACATGGTTGATTTTTAGCACTGACTTGCACAACACATGTTGGTGTATAATACAATGCAAAAACACCTATTTTTGATCTGCATCGATTTCTGTCACTTTATCTTGCATGCGTTTCAAAAGTCCGACATTTTTCCCTGTAAAGCCGGACGTACACTGCGACTTTTTCACTCGCAGCACTCAGCTTCAGCTCAAACTGTACGACTTCCCCGCAGAGCAGATCTCACGAGTCATGCGCTCACACTGTACGACCCAGTTCTCGCATGCGACCTGACTGCTCACACTGTACGTCTGGTAGCAACATGTCGGCCCTAAAAATGTGCTAAAAATAGCAGTTTTTACTCAACACGTTAGACTTTTTTGTCTTGTCTTGCCTGTTGTCCTTCGGGAGTGCTGCTGGAGGACACACAGGGATTTATGGGGGTTGGATGAGGAAAACGAAATAAAGAAAGTAAATCTGTGTTTTGTGATCAGTTTAATTTGACATGAACACGACAAACACGCTTTCTTGACAATCTTTGTGAGTAAAAAAACGTGTAGAAACAAAAACGAACAGCGTGTGTTATTAGGGAAATAGCGAGCGACAAGCGTTGATGCAGGATTGCGCGCGCATGCGCCGTGAGTGGTTCTGATACTTTTTGGGTCGCAGCTGCTCGCAGCGCCGCTTCAACAGTGCGATACCCTCACGAGGGACGAGCGAAATATTAAACACACCAGAGTGCGACCTCACGACTGCTGATCGGCGGCTGGTCACGTGGGCTGTGTCTCAATTCAGGGTCTGCATCCTACCTCGGCCGGATTCGTCGGCTGGTTACGTCACAGCGCCGCGACTCGGCCTGTCCCAATTCGAAGACTCCTTCAAATGCGGTCGACGAATGCGGCCTTCTTTTCGCCTGAATGAAGGATGGGTCGGGTGTATCCTTCAATAGGTAGCATTTCCCAAGATGCCTTGCGGGCCGGCCGGCAGAAAAACTTAAAAACAATGGCGGACAGTGAAGCGGGAGCTGTCGGAGAGGATTGCGCATATAAATGTCAGTATAAACTTGAAAACTGTCAGTTTAAGGACTTTTTGTGATACATGAACGTTATTTTAGTTAGAAATGTTACAGTAAAAGTGCTTGTATTGCGGTCTCGGCTCGTATGTTCGGCCGCGCTCGGTGTCGTACTTCTCCCGCTACGTTTCCCCCTGATTTTAATAGAAGTTTGTATTTTAGGAACAAAAGAGAAAACCAGGGAATTTATTAAGCTTAGGACGGAGATGGACCACATGATCACCGGAGCAAAGTATTCGGCGGCTGTGGCATGGAGGTACAATAACATCTCATATTTTAAAAAAACTCGTTTGAGTTTATTTTTTTCTGCGAAAACATGAAAGGAATAACCCGTTGTCCTCTTTTCTCTATCTGTTTCTTTTCTTACATGTTTGTTAAGACTATTCTGGAGAAAATGGGCATCCAGGGGAAGGTTCCAGCGATGACCAGCTTCTGGAGCTGATCAGGGAGGACATGAGGCTGCAGAGGGAGGCAGAGCTGCAGAGAGCCCAGGAGAGAAGGGAGAACTTTGACAGCTTTTTACTTTGCTAGAAAAAAATGGTTAATAAAGATTAAACATGTACATGTAAAAGAAATATCTAAATAAAATCAGTTCTGCATTAAACTCTTGAATTTTATTTTTGTTTACAAATGAGAATTGTTTACTAGAAGGTATCCGCTGGGTCTTGAAAAGTCTTAAAAGGTGATAAATCGGTTTTGGTCAAATTAAGACCCTTAGAAAGTATTAAAAACTATTATCACATCTTTGCTCAGGCTCAGCTAGTCGAAAGTATTTTCTCTGAATTAGCTCTCCAACAGTCAAGGAAATGATTAACCCCCAGAGACCCACGGTTGTAATATTACAACATCAGATTTAAGTCTACAAGAATAAACCTTCCCCATTTTTTTTCTTTTTAAAACCACATTTACATTGCTAATAGGTCCTATTGTTCAGTTCTGCAACACTATTGGCTGTTAAAATGTGTAAATAGGCCCGTTTATCTGGCCTCCTAGAACATGTGAAAGGTTAAAAAAATATTTTGCAGTTGTTTTCTAAATTTGGGTTTCTGGGGGTTAAAAAGCTAAATAAAACGTCGAGCTCCATCGTTTAAAGTTCCTTCTCCCTTCTGCCCAGCGGTTCCACGGTTGCTAGGCGACGGAACGTTCGCCGAGGGAGTTCATGAAGGCTAGGCCTGTCCAAATTCACAGCCGTTAACATCCGGTCTACCCGGCCGACGGAGGACGCAGCCCACGTCGGCCGGGTGGGCTGGGTCCTTCGAAGGATGCAGACCCTGAATTGAGACACAGCCGTGGTGTTAATCGCCTCTCGTAACCCCCTGTACACTACACGACCGCTTGGCGCAAAACTCGCCCCGATGTCGTGGCTTCTCGCACGACTGGAAAATCGGCTCAAAAATGTGAAAAAGTCGCACAGTGTACGCCCGGCTGTGACAGTCTCTCCCATTTCAATCCCAGAGTGTCCATGCACGCATTTACCTCTGTAAAAAGATCACTCCCTGTCGTTGTCCCTCTCATCGACCGCATTGCTGCCCGCTCCTCTGTGAGCTTGAAGTCCGTTATCCCCCGGACAAATACGAGCAGCTGGGCTGTGTCCCGGACATCACAGCTCCCGTCTAATGAGAAAAAGTCAAAACTTGCCACTTCACGTTGCAGCTGAAGCTCCAGGTTCCCCGCAATGTCCTCGATCCTCCTGGTCACGGTTCGCTGTTTTTAGCTATTTTGTGGGATATCACAAAGCTGGTCCTGGTTGCTGCATCCCTGGATGTGTGAAGCTTAGTAAAAAAGCCTTGCTGCTTTTGCAACTTTGCTAGCAAAGCTTCGGATGTCCGTGCCCTCTCAGCATCAGACAAGTTCTTGTATTTTTCCGAGTGTTTCTTGTCGTAATGCCGACTCAAATTGTAGTCCTTAAACACGGCAATCTCCTCCCCGCAAACCAAACACACGGTTTTACCTCCGACTTCAGTAAAAAAAAATACTTAGCAGTCCAATTTTTGTTGAAAATCCTGCATTCGGCATCTTTCTTTTTTGCATGAGCGGACATTTCTCAGGCTACAATCACCATGTCAACCGCGGGTACTTGTTGCTATACGTATTGCGTCATTGTGCACGTAAAATACAACTTCAAAATAAAAGCAATGCAGCCTTAGCCCATGCATGAGGTAAAATGAGAAAATACATTTATTTTGTAATTTCCAATTAACCTTACGCGGGCCGGTCAAAGTCAACCAAAGGGCCGGATGTGGCCCGCGGGCCGTAAAATGCCCAGGTCTGGTGTAGATCATGTTGTGTAAGTAAATATTTGTCTGTGTCAAACTCGAGCGCTCGATTACACTTTTGTCGTGTGTCCTCCATGTTACCCCATGTCCTCTAGACGCCTGGGTTGTAACCGAGGGACCAGAGGCGTCGACTGAGTGACAGCGTCGCTTCTGTCAAGTCATCAGCCATCAACGTCAATGTGGCTGTGAAGCACTTTGGAGCTCTCTGACTTATAAAAGTGCTATACAAGTCTAGACCATAGGGAGTCTAAGTTTCCGCCCTTTCCAGTCGGCTCATACTCAGAAAAGAGAAAAAAATGAAAGGGGGCCATAAAGGCTATTTTGTGATCCTGTTTCACATGCACCATGCGAAAGTTACTTTAGGTTTTGTGTGAGAAGATGGATAGGACAACAAATGCTCGTCTCATCAAATTGATGTTGTTGATCCAGACACGGAGAAGAGGAAAGATTAGTTTAGCAAGCTTAGAATCATTCTTGGATGAAAGAACGAGCATTAAGCATGGAGAAAATCCTAATAAATTCTGGTCATGTGGGTCTCCAGTGATGTCATATGTGCAACAACTGATTTGTAGACATTTAATTCCAAATTTAGCTTTTGCAGCCTCGTTCGCCTAACCCTAACCAGCTCTTTTTCGTTATTTCATACTTATTTTCAGGGACCTGTGAGCCAGAAGTAGATGGGCGTGGCTTTGTATGGATTCTAGCGCATAGCCCGGTAAAAAACGGGGCACAATGCAATTTGTAGCACTACCGATGCCACTGGCAGGCACATGTCAAAGGAAACTAAATATCTTTATTTTGGAAATCAAAATCTGGTTTAAACCAAAAGGCATGAGTAAAAAAAAAAGAAGAACATAGCCAGAGGCTCCGGCACATTTTTGGGGGTGTTACATGCATGTTTAGCTGTGTTGTCCAAAAAAAATCCTTGCATGGCAAACCTCCACGTAAGCATGACTAATCAGGATTTATAAAAATATGAGATATATGGTCAAGAATCATTAGGTTTTGTGCCGATTTGTTTGTTTGTAATATCTCTACATCAAACCTTTTCACACTTTTGGGAATCTGACTGAGCCTTTTCTCTGTTAAATATGTTTGTTTTACTTATTCCAGTGTTTAGGGTTTTACACTGTTTTCACCATGCTTACAGTTTTTCATTAGTTTGACCTCTTTTCATTTCTTTTTTAGTTTAGTTCCCCAATTCCTTTCCTAGTCATTTTTTTATTTATTTCCAGCTTCCTTTGCACATCTGATCCTAACTGACTTCTTTCAGTAATCATGCATCCATATGTAAATCACTCAGGTTGTTTCTGGGAGTGATGCTACATCAAAAATACTTTTGTAAATATTCATTGCATTTCACTGACATTGTGCAAACACACCAACTTTCATTTTGTCTTTAAAGTGGACCCAAAAAATAAAAAACTGTGGCTTTTGAGGTGGCTACTGTGTTCTCTACAAGAACCTTGTCGTCCCCAAACTTTCCTTCTGCAATCATCTTACTAGGTCAGTCTTCTCGAACTATTAGCTGAAGGTAGAGAGCTGACTTCAGTGAAAACAGATTTTACGATAAGAAGACAGAAAACAAAGTCATGGGATTACATTTATCAGAACAGATAAAGCAACGATGAACTGAGTTGTGTTAATAAAGTTAAAGAGATGGTAACATGGGTGCACTTCCTGTGAGACGAGTAAGTTGTTTGTCCTCACGGACCTAACCACAAGACTTCCACTTGGCCACCCTTCCTTTGCAAAACCTGATTACAGCGATGCATGTTTATGCTGGAATCTTCTGAATCTCTGAGTTGTGCCTTTAAAAAATGAATTATACAGATATCTAATTGAAGACAACTTCTATTTTTGTATTACTGTCAGTGACGCACGGTCTTGTGAGTCTCTCTTCTGCATTTTGGCTCACAACAGTGTTTTACAAAAACAGTTTGCATGTCTTTTTTCTTCGCTTCTCTACCGCAAGCTGTCAGTAACAAGCGGAAAACCTTTGCAGCCTTAGCTCTTTTTAAACACAATCGGTTATTAAAAGGCCCCCGTGGCTCAAATTTGAGACACTGGAATGTATACAGTATAAATGCATTTTGATGTCTAATTATTAGGGAAAGCAAAATGACAATGAATGCTGATAGACTAAACAGCTGGAATTCAAATAAAAAGTTTTACTGATATTTTGGGGTGTCATTAATGCCATGAAGTTCATTATTTTGTTTTTACAACGTGATTATTTTTTTTACTGTTTTGCTGAAACATTTTCTGACATAGTATCCCTAATATGTCAGAAAATCTGATTTAAGTTTCAAGCCACAATAATAAATAATCCCACTTTAGGAAATCAGGGAGTTGAAACATTTTTTTCATCGCAACGTTTCAGCAAATATCTTAAATAATCATTGTAAAGCAAGAAAAGATTAAATCAGGTCTTACCCATTTTAGAATCTGTCATTTATATCCCAAAACAAATGAAAAAACAAATAAATGACAGAAAACTCCCTTGGCAACACAGTTGAGCATTAGGCTGCTTCAGCCTCCAGCGCAACAACTGAATGAAATATTTAATTACTTGAAGCCCCACCTCTTCCTCTTCCACGACAGGTTCACATGAGCACAAAGACAGACAATATGACCATCCTTCAGTACAAAAACATCTGGTTTAAGTACGCCGTGCAGCCCTGCACGTGGTCCTGAATAAATGATTCACTCAGAGCTCTAATACTGGGACTTTGATGTAAAGGTAATAAAGTGGGTTTTAATCTGGCATCATTTAGTTATTATAGTAAGAAATTTCTATTGTGTAAAAAATTAATCAGATTTTTCTTTGTTTTGAATATTTTTATATTTTTGTTTATCTAGAAATAAAACATTATTAGGAAACATTAGAAGGAAACCAGTAGATTACATTATGACCCAAAAACTGAAAATGAATGCCACCTGTGTTTTACAGGCCATTTTACCTTTCCCAGTCTAGGCTTTATCGTGGTGCCAAGGCGCCACCTGATGGCCACACCATGGTGTTACCTTCACCTCTGGTTTGTGACTACAGATGGTGGCTTTGAGTCTTTGTTTTGCTAACACCAAGTGTCACTCTAAAAATAACAAACCTTTGCGTAAATATAAAAATAAAGTGTAAATGCAATCATGTTTTGCCTGTGTGTGTGTGTGTGTGTGTGTGTGTGTGTGTGTGTGTTTTATGGTAAGCGACTCCGGTGATATTTTTTTAGTTTATTGTCGGCATCCATAGAAGCGCAAACGAAGTAGTAAGTTTCAGATAAAGCTGTTTTTATCACTTCAACTCCTTCCTCATTTTGCTCCGTGCAAAATTAAATCCATTTCAGCTTAAAGTATTGTTTAATTAATTCCCATAACTGAAATAGTGAATGGTCTATTTTAGGAGGAAAACTACACAAACAAAGGAGTAGAGGAAGGCAGGGTGAGTTATAAAACAACAGGTGGGGAGGCTGTCAAAAAAGAGGTAGCTCAGAGAGCGGAGAGGGAGGGAGGTGTGCAACAGTTTCCTGTAGTTGCATGCTCAGCTCTGAAACTTCCTCTGTCAGAGAGAAGAGGCGACGCTGAGCAGAACAGGATGCAGGCTATCAAGTGTGTGGTCGTAGGAGATGGGTACGGCTACATTTTACTTCACTTTATTTGTCCTAACTTAAACCGTGTTTACAGGTACGGAATTGGTCCCGATCATTCATGATGGACATGTTTGGACCTGAGTTCAGAATGTAGGAACTGGAGGACAAAATTGTCAAATCAAATAAGAGTTGCATCTACTTCCGCAGTGTCTGGATTCGTTGGGGGTAATTTTCTTGTAGAACATGTTGGTCCCAAGGTGTTTGTTTGACAGCACCGATCAGAGAAGTGGATGAGCTGTGCAGGTCACAACATGTAGAAAATGCTTCTGAGCAGCAAACCTTTAGCACAGGCCCCCTTTCTTCTGAGGAGGAGCTGAGAAATGTCAAGAAACAGCTGATTAAGGGGAACACCAGACAGAAATAATCAAAAATACTGAAATGTGAACTTATTTGGCTGAAACGGTGTAGGAAAGTTTGAATTGTGTCAGTATCCACTTTATTAACATGTCTCCATATTTAAAGCACAAATAAGTAACAGTAAAGAGACCATTTGTCATAAAAAGCCACATTAGTTTTGTGTCTAAGAGATCAATAACAGTTAGAGCGATGGAAGAGCCTCTCAGGTGCTGAAGCTGCTCTTCCTTGTGTGCTGAGCTTCCTGTTGTGTCTGATTTAGAAATGTAAAGCGAAGAAGAAAAGGAAGTTAGTGTGAACACGTGAACTTGTGTGCGTGACAGAAGCTTGGTGTATCTTTAGGTATTTTTTAATAAATGTGTACACATGGTCTCGTTCCCTCAAGGCAACAGGAATCAGAACCGCAGGGTTAGGTGGGGGGTCGCAGAAAATGATAATGAAGAGGAATTTGTGTGGGATGATTATTGGGTTTTTGATCAAAACAAACACATTTTGAAAACATTTTTTTCCGACAAAGGTCATGAAGTAACTTGTTAGAATTAATTCTCGTAATTAATTAAGACAATCTGTCAGTGGAAACTGGTGATATGAGTCATTTCTGCAGCACGCTGACTAAAATCCAAGCATCTCCTGTAGCAGAGTTTTGTTTTCTTTTCTTTTGTCTGAGTTTGTAACTCCACCATTTCAGTTTGAGCCTTTGTGGTGGAAACCCTTTAAAATAATCCTAACAGCTGGGATGATGGAGGAACACGTGTTTGCTGGTCTGACAAGAGGAAGCTTGTGTTAGGTTGGAGGGAAGTGTGTGAGTCTGTAGGTAGCCTTTGTGTGTAACTTTTTAAAATGTATTTACAGTTATATGTTCACTTGCAAAACTTTGAATTTTAACTATAAAATCAGAAGTTCATAAGTTGGCAGCTTGATTAAAAAAATAATAGATCACATGTTCTGGTTAAAAACATTGTAAAAACTTTAATCCAGAGATTTATAGTCACACCTAACATTCATGACTCACCCAGCTTAACTCGCAACGGGGAAGGCTGTTGTTGGTTTGGCGTGCAGGAAACAGCAGTAAACGTCTCAGCTAGGAGAAGCTATCTGTTAGCATTCGCAAGTCCACCACATGGCAGAACTCCTTCAGGTGTTATTTGTGAATAAAACATCAACGTTGCACAACAGAAGCAGTGGTAGGGTTGCGTTGCTGTTATCCAATCAGAGGTGAGATGTCCAAATATCAGGATATAAGACTCCAAATCCTGCTGAAGCTCAGCTGTGATGTGGCAATCTTGTAGTTCCTGCACGAAACAGGCGCGCCAGAGCTTTGTTTCCCCAGAGTACGATTCACAAGGCATTCATTACTACTAGAGGCCACTGCAAATGTATTAAAACTGAGCGAAGGACCTCGTTAAGTCAGAAACAGTGATAACACCACTGGAACTTAACTGCAACAGAGGTATTATTTTAAATTTCTTAGACTAAATGGGTTTTTCCATTAGTTTAAGAACCAATGTCCACCTAATCACCACAGATACTTAAAGTAAACATGAGGCAATGTAAATGACGAATTGTAAAAAGAAAGATACAACTTTACAAAGGGTTTCCCTTATGAGTGGCTAATAAATAGTTTATAAATATGTTATTAAGGACGAGAAAGAGAACACTATTTTGGCTCACCATTTTGACAGAAGCTGGTCACTTTTTTCTCTTTTCCCCCTTTTAAAGTATAATAAACACTGACCATAATTTATTGTGTTACAGATTTATTAATAATTTAAAATTTTTATTTATTAGCCATTTATAATTAGAGCCACAATGTAAAGCAGTAAAAAAATAATTAGTTTGATAAGAACGGAATTTTGTTCTGAGTGAGAAATTATGACACACCAAGTCTTACTGGTGGTATTGTGTTCAGATGTCGTCATGTATTCCTGTGATGTAATCAGTTGTGCAAAATTAGATACCGGTAATACACGTGACCTGGAAGACCATTTCAACTAAACTATTAAAGCTCAATTTTAACTATTAAATCTGATTTTTTTAATAATCTCAGTAACTGTGAGAAACAAATGAATAAACTCCACACAAATATAAAAAACATTACTTTGATTATTTCTTTGTAGACCATGTTACAAGTGCTGCCAAATCTCAAACTGTGAACATATTTATTTTAAAAATATGCTGCAAAAAATTAACCTAGCAGTGTTAATGGTCACTGCTCAGGCTACAGCTAAACATGTGCATAACAAACATCTTAAAGGGAACATATTATGCAAAAATCATCTTTTCCATCCTTTAATGCTGTGACATGTGTCCCTATTGCTTGTATAAATGCTCCAAACATTAAAAAACATCCATCCATCTCTCAGTTTGGTTTAGAAATTATGCCCCTTAAAACATGCTGTTCCAAAAAGTCCATGAATCTTACGTTTTTTTGTTTGTTTGTTTGTTTTTACATGGAAACACTCCTCACCTCTTCAAGTTAGATGATTAGCATCTTTCCTGCCCTTGTCAGATATCGGAGCTTCTCAGCTTATAGCAACCAGAGTGGGAGATGGGTAGGCATGGGTGGGCGTGGCCAGCTCTAGCTTGTTTTCTTAAAGAGACAGTGTGTAGTTGTTACCATTACAGTTTTTATCAATTGCTAAAACTCTAAAATCCATTGACTGAAGAAAGTTCTCAGTTGCTTGAACTCATTAAGCTAACCGTTGAGCCTGTTGTCAAAACCTTAAACAATTTCACACGGTTTAGCAAAACTCTAAACACATTCTCATTCTTAAAACCCATTCTGCACTCTAATGTACACGTCGTCCATAATGGTAAACACAAGTGGCACACACTTACCCATAACAAGAGCACAAATGTCATTGATTGAACACAATCAGTCAAATTAGATTTCACTTGTTTCAAATGACGTGACGACCAATATAAGCAAGTTCAGAGAGCAAACAGGTTGTTGAAGGTGGGAATGAGAAAGTGTGACAATGGATAGAAGAATTCATGTGAGAGGACAAGGACGAGTGTGTATGCGAGGTGGGGGATGAGGAGGAGGGCAAGAAAGAGAAAGAGGAGGATGAAGAGGAAGAGCGAGACAAAGAGTGGAAATGTCCAATGAAATTTGAGCAACAATCATAGACCGTGTTGTTGTCCATGGGCTGACAATGAGGGAAGCAGGACTTGGAGTGCAACCCAATTTGAGCCTCAGGAGGGAAAATATTGCATGTGATGTCGATGAAGAGCTGTGGCCTGACCCAGCCCACAGACAAGAAGAGGCCCATTGATAACATGTTTAGTCCTTTGATGTTTTTCATTTTATGTATTTTTTTTCACTGTCATTGAACACTGTAGCACAATAGGCTCTATATGGTACAATAAACAAATCTTATGGCCCTGAACATTGTGCTTTCTATTTTTTGGTGTATTGTTTACTGACTGCTTGATGGTGTATGTCATTTTGAGTAATTTGTTTATGATTTGAGAGTAGTGTTTGATTTTGAGCACAGCTAAAACTGTTTTGAGGCAAAAGTTTGATTTTGCAAGAGGAATGAGAGGTTTTGTAAATCGTGCTTGAAGCTGAGGTTTTGTGTTTAATGTTTTGAGAAAAGAGAGCAAGGTTTCAGGAATTGTGCTTTAGCAATTGAGAAAAACTGTAATCTCTGGAAATATCCATCAAAATGTTGTTGAAAAATGTTGGTGGCTTTGTAATATATAACCATAAAAATCGGGTCTAAAGTAGATTGGAGCGGGTCAAAGTCTCTGAGCGATGCTTGAATAGTTGCTATGTTTCCTTATACATGAGCCCATGATGACTAAATGCATTTACTGATTTGTAACAAGCAGTTTCTAAACGTTGTTTCACACATTTACCTCTTCGCTTGTTGCCAGTGATGAAAGACAGTCTGATGTGCTTGTTATTTGGCTGGAGGTTAAACAATCTGATGAAGTATTCAATTCGAAAATTGCACTGCCAAGGATTTTTGACCCAAATGGGCTTCCGTTGGTAAGGTCTTTCTCGAATACAAAAATGATTTAGGCATGTACTGCCCCCATCGCCAGATAAAATACACACTGGGTGTGAAATGTGCAAGCAGAGAGGGCAACAAAGTAATGAGTTTGAGAAAAGATCTAAAAGTCAACGTTGAGAGCTCGGTTTGGCTGGTTCCTGTTTTTAACTTTAGCCGATATTTCTGAAATGGTTCAGTTCCTTTCTGACTCATGCACAACCACACACACACATACACACATACACACACACACACACACACACACACACACACACACACACACACACACACACACTCACACACACACACACACACACACACACACACACACACACACACACACACACACACACACACACACACACACACACAGCTCTGTGAACACTCAGTCATAATCCACACCATAAAGCCCCGCCATTACACAGTGAATGCAAACCTCTTTAGAATGACACATTATTTAATTTAAACCTGTTTCTTTCTGAGCTAAAATGTTCAAATGTATATAAAGATCCTGTGTTTGTGGCATTTTGATAATGTTTCACATTTACACTGTTTTGATTTTTTTTTTTTAATTTACAGTTTTTTGCAGACGTTAGGACCCATTTCTCAATAATTGGGTCGCATTTGC